AATGTTTCATTGCCTCGGTTTGAGTCCAGAATCATATAGTAGCTAAAGCCTAGAATTATAAGAACTCAGCCGTCTTTGTTTTTTCAGCACTCGTACTAGTGACGATAGGAAAATTTGTGTAAACTCATGATAAATTTCCATTATTCAAAATACTCTCGTACGCTGCCATTTGGTAGTAAAACTAAGAACTGCATAAGCATAAATTAGGACATCTTACGTTGTATATAATGTCCAATTAAACTTGGCCTGTCATATCACAGCCACAATGTCAGCCTCTAAGCATCAACATCCCACCCAATCCAGCTTAAAAAGCCTAAGTTTTCCAACAGCCTTATACTCATCCATTCTCATCGGTAGCTTGAGACTACGTAACTATGGAATCAAAAGGCGAGAGAAGTAAGCCAAGGCGATGGCTCACGCGGCTGAAGTATCCTTTTAAACGCCGGGCGACCATCTCAGATGCGCTGGCACCAGTCACAATTGAGGTACATTTAAGCAACTTAGAGATCTTACGCCAGTATCAAGCCGCATGGACTTTTCTAATCATTTCTATATTAGTATATAAGAGGTAGACAAGAGGATAATGTCCTAGATGTGAAACTCGAAGTCCGACGGAATTTACCCACTACCCAGTTAAATACTCACGTTGAGCAACCAAGCCAAACCCAAAACGAGGTATTGACTCGAGCTATACCACCTAGTGGTATTACTGAAGAATATTCCAAAGCAAGTTCAGTAATAAAATGGCCAGAGCCCTTCTGGTCCGAGGCTGTGCAAAGACTACAGAGAGAAAGGCCTAATATATACAGAGACCTCAATACCATACTCGGAGAGAAGTTGAAAGATAGCAGGAGTTCTCATTCAGATCTTGAGCGACTCGCCAGTGATGTGCTACATGTAGCTCAAGGCGAGAAAGAGAAAACGGAGCAAAAGGCATCATCAGATAGGCGACGCATCTTCCATGATAGCATAGGATACTCCAAAGCTATACTCGAAAAAGCAAAGTCACTACTAGATCTAGATCCAACTGGCTATGGAAAACTTGCATGTGTACCGCTCATCCTTGCTCTAGACGTGAGTACTATCTTGTCGATACGCGGTGGAATGCTAACCCATATAAGCTTGTCACTCGAAGTCATGAGGCTTATGAGGATGCTCTCAACGCATTCTCGTTTATTTCTCTTCTCCTCTGTCGTTATGAAGAAAGAGAAAAAGACTATAAGAAACATCAAGCAGAAAACGAGACCCAACTTGTACAACTAGAGAAACTTCTCCCCGACTTATACTTTGAAGTTCTTCTTGTATTAGTAGACTTGGCTAAACATTTTCAAAGGCAAAGATACGGTATGTTTCTTTCTGCGTTAAGAATGGGGAATTTTATTGTCCATGAATTTTCCAGGGCCGACGCTTCTCAACTAATACAAAACGGGGTTTAGAGCAGATATTAAGGTCCACAGTTATTGACATAGACGGCTGGAAAGTCAAGATGAAAGTGATTAAAGAGAAAGATGATCAATGTCAAGGTCTATTCAAGATAATAGATTCTAAGCGTAAGTATATCGCTAGACTAGAGCTGGAACAAGTCCCCAAATCAGTTCTATAATGCAGGGCTAATGTATTAGATGCAGTTACTAGAGATATACATGATAGAATGAAATTTTTTGATGAAGCAAAAAAACGGGACGGTATGTTTTAATTTTATATACATATAAGAGGCGTCTAATCCCTATTTAGACCGTAATACGCGAATAGAGAAGGCGCTTCGATGGACATCAGAACATGACTATTTAGGTGACTATAGAAATATAATCGGTCGGCTGTCTAAAACACCAGGCACTGGAAGCTGGATCTTCAAGCACAACACATTCCTAAAGTGGAACTCGTCGATAGATCAAGGGCTTCGATCTCTGTGGCTTCATGGCCCAGGTAAACGGATCCTTAAGACGTAAATGTTAAGTTCTATCTAACTGACCCAATATATATTAGTTGGTTGCGGAAAGACTACTTTAATGTAGGTGTTTTTATGTCTACACAAAAAAGCGACTACCTATTCTGACAACCACTTCTATAGAACACGCGTCATTGAGAGACTTCTCGAGAGTTCTCGGGATTTCCCTAAGAACGAAAACAGACAAGTTGCCTATTTCTACTGTTCGAAGACTCAGGGCTCTGGCAGCCAGCCATCAGAAGTACTAGCGTCTATTGTGCGCCAACTATCCTCGTCGCCTAAGAGTCAACAAGCTACCCAGCCTATAATGGATCACTGGAAGCATTTCCTAGATCAAGACAACCCGAATGAAAACCCGCCGAAGTTAGATCTACAGGAATGCGAAAACCTCCTAGGGAAGATTTTCGGCCTTAACGACCACATCACGATTATTATTGACGCTCTTGATGAATGTGCCGATCCGAGAGAGCTTCTTGAAGTATTTCAGAACTTCGAAGAACAGCTCCATAAAAGGCCTACCCCAACGATTAGAGTACTTTTCTCTAGTCGGGATGAAGTCCAGGTTTTAGATCAGCTCAATTCAAATCTCTGCGGAAATCTCATGCTTACACCTGCGGACACGGCAAATGACCTACAAGTATTTATAGAAAGTGGTATTAAAGATGCCATTAGAAAAAACAAATCACATCCCCTGAGTATGAATAATGAACTAAGAAGAGATATCATCGATGCTTTGGTTGAACATGGGAAAGGGGCGTAAGTTGGCATTACTATATCCGAGTTAATGTAAGACGCTGACTTATACCCAACAGATTCAAATGGACACAGCTACATTTAGCTATGATATCTAACTTTGGTAATGAAACTGATATCCGGACGTCCCTAGATGAAATCAAAGCTAAGGCCAGCTCGACTTATCTCAATAAGACCGCAGATACGCTAGGTTCATCGAAGCAGTTGCTAAATCTTTACGATACTTACGAGCTTCTCTACAAACAAAACATGAGGGTGGGACGTAATGCCGAAGTTCACTTTCAGCGCTTGATGCGATTAGTCCTCACCTATCAAACCTCAGAGAGGCAAACGAGTATCCTGAAGACAGCACCCACGATAGAGCTCCTCATTGGCGTGGCAATCACCGATCCAAATGAAGCAAAAGAGCCCGAAGGCGGAATTACTAAGAAGTATATCGAACGCATAACGAGCAACTTTCTCGTAGTAAACAAGGACTCAACAGTGGAGTTCGCTCACGTCTCTGTTAAGGAATATTTGCAGCATGCAAGGTCGGGGGATTTCTCAGACATAATCTCAAATATTTATGTGGCCGCATCCTGCCTCAGCTCAATCAAGCTTTTCCATGGAGACCTTACTGGGGCAACACTCAAGTCAATACTCGAGCCAATTTGGCCGCAGCCTCCGGCAAAATATTTCATGTGCTACTCTATTTTGTTTTGGGGTGTACATTGTAAAGCAGCAGGTCAGGAAGGACGGCAAGTGAACCCCTTGAAAGACCAGTTCTCGGAGTTCATACTTACAAAAGAAGTTGGAAATGCGTATAAAGCGTGGTTTCGTGCTATGGATCCGGCGCCTTATAAGCCGCCAGACCCCTTTTTTATGGCATGTGCGAATGGATATAACGAAGCCGTTGCTGTAATATCTCAGCATAGGCCAGAAGTAGTGAATATTCCCTTTGGAGCTCGGCGTAGCTCAGGCTTACATCTGGCCGCTCTTTATAATAACTCAGCCACCGTACGGGAGTTAATACATTCGAATGGCATAGATACCAATGCCAAAGACGGGAATGGGTTAACAGCACTTGCGGACGAAGCTATCGATATAAACTCAATGGATCCGAGTGGCAGAACGCCTCTGTCTCTGGCGGAAGGACGTGAGGGTATCTCAACACTTCTACTTAACAGAGGCGCCGACCCGAAAATTGCGGACTATTCAGGGCGTACTAACCTCTGGTTCACGAAGTTACGCGAGTACGTTGTCCCGAAGGATTCGTACGAAAACCCTCATTTTCTAAGGAAAGCAGTTAGCCTTGCTATGAAACTTGCTATATCATTAGCCCATTGCGAATTTTTATGGGTGGAAAGTCATCAATATAGTTCCACATCTCATTACTCCGTCGTTCACGTACTCTGGATTATGTTAGCAGAACTCGAGGTGTCTTATCTTCACAATGAATACTATAAGAGTCATGGATGGATATTCCGCTACTTCACATTCAATGATCCTAATTTGTCCAAGTACGGAATTGTGGTCAAGGTCATCCTCGAAGAGTTCAGGGGAGTAAAGAGTGAAACATTTCCTGCTCGACATTTCATTCTGCAGCATATTGTGCGGCCGCTGGACAATTTATATAAGGAGCTTATGCAAGATTGCGGTCACGAATTCGATGATGATGATTTTCCAGTTGTATCAGGATTAGTTAACTGGGAATTTGTGTGGAATTACTATAACATACTGGAGGATAAAGAGGAAGTAGCTTCTGATCGGCATAGAGGGAAGTTCATGGACTCGATCAATCGTTTGTTTGATATTAATACGTTATATCCCCCTTTAATTCGTCGGGATGAAGATTCGCTTGAAAAGGCTTGGCCGGCTATTTCGCCGTAAGCTGTATAAAATCATACGAAAATATTAATAATTAAATTTTATGTTTTTTCTTTATTAGGTTACTTATTTTACACTTATGAAAGACTGGAAAAGTCTTGCACATCTAGTCTAGGCAAGCCAAGTATGAGTAAAAAAGAGACCGTACGGTATTACTTAAGCTATAGTGGGTGATATCGCTATAGATATAGTGGTAGGTCACCTAAATTTAGCGTACGGGCCACTATTAAAACTTCAGCTTAGCAGGTAGCCGATACAGTATTAATAGAAAATGATGACGTTCGAATACAGTGCTAGGAACATTTCCTTTACCATTATGGTGGTTATTTAGTGGGTCTAATTATCCTTCCAATATTCATAACACAATCAACTTCTTATCTTCCCTCTAACGCAAGAAACAACTAGGGAACGACAAGAGTAAAAATTAACGACGATGGATAAATCCGACCTCCTATTATATGCTAAGGAGTATGCAACAACGCAGGATCTATATGAGCTTTTGGGTATAACATCTGACACGCCTAAAGAAGATATCCACCGCGCTTGGTACGTCATATTCTATCCTTCATTTGACAGTCTCATACATATAAATCACGGTACTAATACGCCATCCATAGGCGCAAGCGCAGCTTGAAATACCATCCTGACAAAGCAGGAGCCAACTTCGACCCGGCGAAATGGGAACTATTCGAGCGAGCACGGGACGTATTGTCCGACGCCCCAGCGCGCGATGTCTACGATTCACAACGATCTGCCGCCCTCCTGCGCGAACAGCAGCGTCGCGCGATGGACTCTAAGCGACGCGCGATGGTAGAGGATCTTGAAGCACGAGAACGCGGGGCCATCAAGCGCCCGCGCGGCGAGGGCGATGGCCCTACGATGAGCGAGGCTGAGAGGAGACGACTGGTCGAAGCCGGGAAACGGCGTCTAGAAGAGAGGCAGAGATTGATGAGAGAAGCGGAGGAAAGAGAAAGGCAACGAGAAAAAGAACAAGTGGTACAAGAGAGTAAAGAGAACCTGAAAAGGTCAAAGCCACCAAACTCGGATGAACAAAGAGGTCGAAGAAAAACACCAGATACTTCGAGTACAGTTGAGTCCAAGATGGATATCGACCCAGAACCACCAGCGAAGAACGGCGACGGCTATGATGACCAGATCGCGGATCTCGAGCGACGACTAGAGGGGGCGCGGCAGCGTAAAGCAGCCAAGAAGGAAAAGAAGGCAGGGTGGAAGAATGGCGATGAAAAGCTTAAGACACATGAGAATACACCTATTCCTAATGCCTCGCAGGGACCACAAGCTGACGAAAAGAAAGGCACTTCCACGTCGGGAACAGCGAACACATTTTCCTTCTCCGCCTCCACAGGCACTTCAACATCTCCCAACGGTAATGCTACCACTAGTAGTAAGCCTAGAGCTAAAGGGGACTTCGCGTCAACGATGGCTAGGCTGCGTGCCGCGCAGGCTGAGAAAGAGGCTCGGAAGAAAGCGGAAGAAGCCTCTGCTGCTTCCGTTGCTGCTGATGGCGTTGGCATTTAGTTGATTGATGAGGATCCGCTGCCCTCTTTAGATAGCTGCCATTGTTCTCGATTTTGTCTCTACTACCTATTATGATACCCCAGTCTTTCATAGAAAGGATTATACTCGAAGTGCATGCATTAAAATAAAAACGATATGTTCAAGATACCTAAGACAGAATGAATACCGTTCTTAATTGTGAACAGTGGAATAATTCTACGTTGCAACGAGACTTCTACTGACTTTGTATGCCTCATGATACATAACGTGCCTGATAGTTGAAATGGAAGATTGATCTTTAATATGTCTACGAAGCGGGCTTTGGTATATATGATATAGTATACAGGTTCATGCTGTGAGCAATATCTCATAGCAATATAGTTATGCATGTCCTCTAGGAACGCGATATTTATACATCCCACCCATTCCACTACCACGAGCAAAGTCGAACTTCTACGTACCCTCTTGTAACCTTTCACGCATCCAATCCGGCACAAACGCCTTTATCTTGACGGACTGTCCTCCACTACCCTCCTCGTCCGCTCCCCACTTAACAACAAACTCGTCACGAGTCGGGTCGAACGGTGCTCCCACAGCCGTCTCCCCCGGTAGTTCGACATCCGTCATGATTTGCAGCCTGCATAGTGCCAAGCCGATATTTCCCACCCCTCGAAGCCAAGTCCCAGCGCTGCGGCCTTTGGTACCGTCTCTGCCTATACTCAAGTTCGACGGGATATCCTCTGCCGATAATTCTTTATTACTCCCTTCCCCATGTGTACCCTCGTCGGATATATAGGGCTTATACTCGAGAGCTTTAGGTGGGGAAGGGGGAGAAGGATTGGGAGGATACAGTAGACATGGCAGTATGCGCTTGCGTACAATACCGCGGTGCCGTGTGCGGATCGTCAGTTCCTGTCCTACATAGCATCCCTTTCGGAAGTCAATGCCTCCCATGAGGTCCATATTAGCCTCGAGAGGAAGTGCTTGCTCGCGCGGTATCTCAGCCTGGCCCTCCGCTACGCCAAGCAAATACCGTCTCACGCGATACATATTGTCGTCACTTTGTGCTAGGTCCACGTCCAGTCCGTTCGCTCCCCCGCGTCGAAGTACTCGATACCCCATCCCAGGGGCACGAGTATCCGGCAGGATGATACTGTCTTTTAGATGCGATAACGGCGAATTCTCAGACGAGGAGATAGAAGAGCCATCCCACACCTGCCACGCAGCAATTTCGCCCTCATCCAAAACCCGGAACGTGAGTTTGCTCCGCAGCTTGTATCGCTTGATATGCCGCGCCAGCGTATCTACCTGTGCGGCATCCACCTCGACGACGAAAGTCTCTCCATCTGCCGCGCCTGCATTGATGCCTAGCGTGTCCCGGTAGACAAACACATCATGCAGCACGCGGCCCGTCGCATTCAGAAAACCGCTGTAGAAACCCGGTGCCCCGGCAGCGAGACTAGTGTGAGAGGAGACCGGCGTATTATGCCGATGTCTACCGTTCCCGCCGCCGGGCTCATCAACAACGGACTGCGTGATCAGACCGTGTAAAAACTTGGGCGCATCCGGACCGGCAAGGCTGATCAAGCGTCGGGAGGTCAGCAGCGCATAACCGGACGGGGACGGTGATGGTGGAGGAGCAGTAGCAGTAACAGTAGTAGTAGCACTTGCGCGGCCTGACGTCACCGAGAAACGGCGCAGCGATCTCTGGCACGATTGACATACAAAAGGCAGAGGGATGGGGCTTAGGCCGCGTCCGGGGGCGCTGCGCGGTAAGATCGGCATCGCGTAAATTTTCCAGTATGGGATAGGATACCCTAGGAATGATAGTTAGATACCGCGCCGCAACGTCGTAAGCAGTACGTTGTATTCTATATTTCGGATTACTGATAGCCAGCGAAGTCCGAGGCTAAGGTCTCTGGGCATAGTCGGAATCCTTGGTTAGAGGAAGGGAAAGCTTATCACGAGGCTTTGGAATGAATTGGTTTTACGGCACGGTAAGGCAAGGTTAGGGTAGGTAGCCTTGTCGGCTTGGCGTGTTCAAAGGAACCGTGCGTTCCGGGGGTTGTTTGGCCTTGGATGGAAAAGAGCTGTGATGTAATTTTTCGTTCGGTCTTTACATACTAGCGTTGCCGTGCCGCTTGCGAAACTCCGGCCGAGCATTATATAATACAAATTTCTTAGCATTTCGGGGGTGGCTCGGCGTCGGTATCCAATGTCGGACTTCGGATTTTTTGGTTCCGAAATCCTAATCTCTAATGGAACCTAGGATTGTCTCCTCCTAGGCTCAAATTTAAAAAGATTTTTTTTTTCGGTGCCTAAGCTAGCAGGCAGAGTCTGCTAGTGTAGGCACCTGACCTTACTAACAGCCCTATTTTTTTACGGCAATAGTCATTCCGAAATGTACCTCCTCTGGTAGCGAGTTGTTAGCCTTTGAAGTCTTGGAGGGGTTATTCTGCCCTACGATGATTGATACTAACATAAATCCGCCGTAGCCTCGGTTCGCGACTAAGGTTGTATACTTTAATTGTTATGCAGATCCATTAGACCGGGTCATGTACTGTACATACTAAAGAATTCTGTTAGCTCATGATGCCGTTATGAACAATCACATTGACTTGATTAGAATTCCGTATAGTCCGTGATCCGCGACCCGCGACCTGTCGTCAATCTTTCCTAATTTGCCGCTCCGGCTAGTAAGCCATCCTCACGGCCTCCAACAGTTGTGGCAATGGAGGCTTGAATACCTTAGTCATATTAAATCGGGGGCCAGAGCCTATGTACATACACGCATATCTCCCGTATCTCCTTGGACCCTTTTTGCATAACTGACTTACACCAACGCATATACAAGATAGGTAAGTCCGTAAAAAGAGAGAGATGTGTAATGCCGGAGACTAGGGTTATCACGTCAGCGAACACGCCGTTATCTCATTATCTTATGTGGATATTGTCTACGATCGCTATCACAGATCGTCTATACTACGACTTAATAATAACTCGGCAATCGGTAATTCAATTCTGCATTACGCACGTACGAGTCTTGTTTAATCCGATTGATGTTAGTTACCTACAACCTATCATACCAACCTACCTGGGTATATACATACCTCCTACATAAACTGTATACCCAACATTACCTACCCAACATACTGTACATTCTTACCCGGTTAGAGGATCATTGCAGCCGAGGGAATACTCCGCGAACAAATGCCCGAGTAAGGTAACTCCCTTATGTGCGATACCAACAAAGTTGATACTTTCAAGGCTTCCTGCATATGTATCTCCCTATGTACCTACCATTCAGAAGTATGACGATCTCCTTGCATGCAGCAGCGAGCATCAAGAGCAAAGCCCGGATTTGTGTCACCACCTGTAACGTGTCTATAGATCCATCCGCCCTACCTAAGGTACATCCATACTTTTGTATGGTTTGGGAAGTGGTTTTGTTGTTGTATGTATGTATGTAGGTAGATAGGTAAGTATATGTTGAAGTGTGTAAGTATCCTGCTGGTGTGTTGGCAGTACCAAACTACATTATTCTCAACTACCCAACTATATACCCAAGACATCCAAAGATCCAAGTTCAATGGATAAACCACATAGTTTAGTCATCCTATGAGATGTCGAATATCAAGTGCATGTAATAGCTAGCTAGTAGCTAACAGCTAGTTCCCCTTAGTGCAACCAGTCATGATATTGTATAGTTCTCTCCATAGTCTCGGCCGTGGCTAAGACGATGCTAGTTGAGTGACATGCAGCTCGAATGATTCACACGGCCGTTTGAACCAGAAAACCGATGAATCAGCGTCGCTTTTCCCCCGCCGACGATCCCCTCCTTGCTACCGTCGTGTCCCGCCAATTCGCAAAGCCTCACCGCTCCTCTACGTAGGCTAGCGGCCAAGCCAAGTCGTCTGTGTGGCTGCTCCGCAATGGCCCCTCTACGTTCTGGCGGTCGACGAGTGGGTAGATGCGCGAAGATGGCAAGATGACTAACTTACCTATGTAAACTAATAAACCTGCCTTGCCTTTTCTTGTCGGCTAGGGCCAATTCATCGTAGTACGTCCACGAGCCGTCCATTAACCTAACCTAACTTAACCCGTGTGTAATATAACAAGTTGTCTAAGCCTACATAACCTAACATATGCCTAGCATACCTACCATGTATCGGTCAAGTATCACGTATCATATCGATCACGTATCCGTGATACATGGTCTGACCCGAAACCTAACCAACCCTAATTCTCAAGTTCGCAATAGCGCGATTGACAATATCTTCACCGAATGCTCTAGACATGTTTCATCCAGTCAAGGTAGCAAGGAGTGATCTACATATGGATTACGGGAAGATCTCCCCTAGGGGTCTTGTCTCGGGGGGCCGTTGATTAATTACATATACCTTCTTGCATACCGACTTAAATAAGTACATATCATAAGACGCACATCCAGATTCCGTACAATTGAGACTATGCGCAATTATATTACTATTTGATTCAACTTGCGATATTGAAGATGCCGAGGTGTGTGACGATCGCTCAATGGACAATTCACGAGATAGTCTGTCAGACAGTCAGAATTCTATCATAATGTCATATCGGCGATTACAGTCTGCCGATAGTGGTCTGGTTGATCAGAATGGCAATATTCCAATCATACATATTATATAACGTGTAATACCTATTGAGTGCGACATCGAGAAATCAAAAATCATATGTTCGCATATTGAGACGGCCAAAGGCTGCGACATTGTAGATATCGTGATTTGAGTCTGTAAAGTCGGGGTTTGAAAGCAAAACAATAAAGCACCCTTCCATCTTCACAATCTCACCTGCCTAGCGGATCAATATATTGTAAATTGGTCTTAGCGGAAAGAAGCAGTGGTTCTTTTCTACGGGCAGCATAGAACATGCACAGTCATGATAATCGACAAAGGGGAACCAGTAGAAAACTTGGATGAAACCTCACCCGCGGCGACTGTAACGACAATCAACCGCTATGAGTGGCCATCCCCCTAAACCGTCGCCCCATCTATGGAGAGAGCGGTGACAGGCGTTGAAGCTGACCGCAGATTTGGGTTACCTAGTATGCGGGAGAGCAGGGGTGTTAAGGCGTGGCCGTGCGTTGAGACGGCCTTCTCTAGACAGCAGCGAGCGAGTTCTGTACATATGTATTATCTCAGCATCGTCATTAATGAGTTCGCGCTTCTCCGCTGCATTTCCCCTTCTGGGAGGACAGAGATTAAGCTATCAACTGCAACGCGTCAGATGGCTTCATTTCGCGTCTGCCAGAATTGGTAAGGCAATCGGCATCGGGGAATGGTTAGACCCCAAGCCATATTAACGCCTCTTCGCTAAACAGTTCCCAAGACGACATTGTCCCAGACGGGCGGCTCTTTACGGTGTAGGGTGTAGGGCTGGCTAACCTGAGCTGGCCTCCGGCTGCTAATTCGTCCCCAGCCGGATGCGAGGAAATCATATCCGTTCGAGACATTAGATTTAGTAGGGGTCCATCATATATCATGTATATATGTATGTATGTATGTATGTACCCTTTATCTCCTCATGTCTCTCCTTGGCCTGAACGGTACTTCTCCGAATTGCCTATTACACAGGTAGATACCCGTCCTTTTCGTCGCCGTCCAGGAGATCTAGACCCTGTAAAAAAAATAAAAAATAAGAAACAACGTAGCGTCCGAAAGGGGAGATTGAGCACTCGATTCGTGCTCCGTGCTCCTTGCTCCTTGCTCCTTGCTCCGTGCTTCGTATGATGCGGTATCAAGTGATCCGCGGATAAACCATGACTTTTAGATCCGGAAATGCTAAAACTAGCTGATAGCTAAACCTAGTCATCGCCGACGGTTCACAAAAACAAAGCAATTTAAACGAAAAAAAGAAAATAACAAATCAAAATCCACATTGGTTTTTTATTTTTTCTTTCAGCCAGGACGGTAAACGAGATTGTGGGGAGTGTCACAAACAGCTCAGCCCCCAAACGAAGGTCCGCCTGAAGATCGCGGCAGAAGTTGATTGGACGATTAACGGCCGCTGCCTCCTTAGTTCTCCACCCGGTGCGGGAAACCCAGACGGTTGGGACTCGAAAAAGCTAAGTTTCAACGGTACTTTGCAACTTTACGCTTTAAAGGCTAAAACTAGACCTGTTCTAGCTTAGACCGCGGTATCTAGGCCGGTGGATCTAAGATAATCACCCGACGACCCGACGTTAAGGTCACCTACTACATTACATAATCACGCCCATGTACCTAGGTACACGTTCCCTTTTCTCTCCCCCCACACATACGAAAGATTGCGAGAAATATGCCAAGTCGCTGATAATCACCAGCCGGAAGGGAGAGCCTTGTCTCGTTTTGCCTACTGCCTGATGGTGAGTAATTACCTACATACCTAACAAGAGAACGACCAGGGTAAGCGAGAAGCTTCCTTGCACTCCAGCTCCTTTACGTGCGTACTCTCGTAACTAATCCAACCTAGTCAAAACTAAGACCTTTTTTGTTCCAATGATCAATATCCTCATTCCGGCACAAGTCGGACTTTATGGATTTAATGCTTAGCTAATTTCCCCTTTCTATTCAACATATCTATCTTTCCCCCCATGTCTCCAGTCTAGGGTAAGGTCCTGGGGGGCATACTTTACGAACCCGATATTTCTCGCTAAATATGTCCAAGTGACGCCTTTCATATTCTACTAAATTCCTTCGTCTCGACACGCACGGCAAGGGTTTCGTCGACCTCGGACTAAGCAAGCTAACTAGGTAGCTTTGGGCTCCAGACCTGGCGAGGCTCGGAGTCCCGGCACTAAGGCGGGGTTTATCTTCGCACCGAGTCGTTTTTTGTAGTTTTAACTAGCGGTAGAAGGAATAATAATAATAATAGTAAGGAAGAAGAGAATTCCTTAGGGTTCGATTACTAGGAGACATTAAAGCCCTGTCGATGAGTTAGTAATATTCGCTCCCACCTCGGCATCTCGAATGTGATAACGATTCAAGTTTTTTTATTACCGATATCGCGGACGTCGCGGCGCGCATTTTACATTTTGTACCCGTGAATTCCATAGCACATGACTCAAGAAGTGATCTGCGCCCGGCTTATGGATTAGATCAATCAGATAATCATTGTACAACTGTTAATATACCTATGCACATGGGAAAATGTGATAATGTGACGAGGCTTGTTCACGAGGCAATCAATCACTGGCACGTTGAGGAATTATAGAGTTGACTAATTATCTTTTATTTGATTTGATGGGTTATAGCTGCATGTGCAAGCTGTTCTACCCTTCGCTATGTAAATGAGATTTAGATGCTGCGAGGGCCATTCGTGTTCCACTCGACCTTTGAGATTCAAACCCGATATCTGCGCAAAAAAATCATTTGCGTGGGTTGAAAACCAGGGAGCGAAGCAAGCCCCGCTTGTAGCCAAAATGTTTACCACTTTCGGTAACACTCTTTCGATAGTCCTCCAATAGAAAAAATAACTTGTGAGCGGTGACATCTCCCTCCCGCTAAAAAAGCCAAGCCTGGTTTCTAGGCTGCCGCGGTAATACCCGATACTATCCTCCTCATAATACCATAGTGAGACAGAAAAGGAAATCAAATGAAGTCGCTTGCGCTTGTAAAATGCCACGCCGCTATTGGTATTTTAAAACGCCGCCCAGATGCAGATGAATAAAGCACACTATGTGAACCAGACCCTATGCTGATGCAATTATTAAGACGAAGGAGAAGAGGTGTGATACAACATTCCTAATACACCGATATCGTAGATACTATTCGTGCTGTATTTCGCGGCGGCAGGTAGTATCCTTCGCTGTAAAAGTCGTTCTTGTTGTCCTCTTCGTCATCTTGTCTCGAGTCCAGGTACTTTGTTGTGATTGTGCTCTCCCTCTGCTTCTCCGAGAATGTAGGTATTGATGCTGTTGGCGGCGACGGGGGCATTGCCTCGTCCTCTGATGAGTCCGAGTCGTGCTCGAGCTCGGGTGGTGATGTTATAGAGTGGGATTGTGATCGAGTAAGGGATAAGGCGTCGTAGTCTTCGTCATCGTCCTCGAAGTCGTCCTCATCCTCATCCATGAGAGGTAATTGGGGAGATGCCGGTGGTAGTACCGTGTGAGAAGCTATCCGTCGTAGCGGTAACGCATCTGCCATCTCTACATCTTCGTCCTCCTCATCACTGTCGCTGTCCGAATCGGACGAGTCCGCCTCCCAGTCGTCTTCCGCGGTCACGTTATCGACCCATTGTACGTGCCTCTCTTCAGCCTTAGGTGTAGCTCCCCGGACGGATTGGTTGAACCAGCTCTCTTGTTCCCGCTCGGCTTCGGCAAGGTCGAGCATCAAGGAGTCTAGTAGGTTGGCGTGACCGACAAGTAGTCGGAGGTTGTGGTCGGGACGGGCAGCCTCGTTAGATAGCTTAGCCCGTGCCTTGTGAGCGAGGAAGTATGTCTGTGTGACGGACATTATCTTCTTCCTCGGCAGTGGTGACGATGTAGTTTGCGGGTATGAAGAGTGAGTAGGGGAGTGGAAAGGAGACGGTGAGGTTGATGAAACCATTTTGTATTATGTTATGTTGATATGCGTCTCTGCCGCAGATATGGTGCAATAGGTAGCAATTATTATTTTTTTTGTTGTGTTGTGTGAGTCAGGCACCGATTTCCGGCCAAGGGTAAAAGCAATGACCAAACAGCGAGTCCTTGTCTTTTATGTTCAGTTGCGATGGTTTGAACTTTTTCGACAGGGGTGTGGGGCGTAATAGTTGTCCGCGTTGGGTGGATGGAGTGACCGGGGTGTGGTACCTTACCAGATACAAAGATACAATGGTACCAAGGTACGTGTACCCTACCGACCGCTGTTGTGGAATTTCGAGGCTTGCGGTGTGGAGTTGAGAGTGTTGCGTTGGAAGGGCGTCGTGCCTGTTGTAATATCTGCGTAATATCTATTGAATCTGGACCGTGCCACGATCTTGAGATCTCGAGCTATTAGAATACGTCCTTGATACGTTCTTGGTATATTGCTAGTTCTAGATAGATTGATGATGATGGTCTTTGCCTTCCTTTGCTTTGCTTTTCTTTGGATTGTTTGGCTTTAGGGTTCCGGGAAGTCGAGTCTTATGTATAGATAAGAATTCAAACTAGGTTGTCCGGGACGAAGACGGGATGGGGGAACAAGAGCTTCTTTTGTAATGTCCGCTGACTAGATAGTATGGGTGCTCGTTTTTCCAAAGGATAGGTGTACAAACATATCGAGTTGTAATAAATGCCTACCTATACCACGATGGGGTTACGGATGGACTTTTGATCCCTCGGGCTTAAACGGATTGGCGGGGGTTCGGATCATTCGTAATGAGCGCGCGTGGCAGTACAAGGCCCCGGTTACTTTACATTAGGTTATGCTAGGTACCTTAGGTACATTCTCATAATTGACTTGGCCTTACGATTGTAGATACGTACCAAGGTACGGTACTTGACAACCTTGGAACCTTACTTTTACACCCATGCTTGTACAACGATACATGTACAAAGACCAGGCAGCTCCAATCTACCCCTGTCGCTCTTACGCAAATGCGAGAACTGCGCGATGCACGTAAGTTGTTCCTTCACCGCAACAAAGTACCCGTACCGCTCCCACCGATGTGCCTACACTTATGCGTCCCACTGCGAGTCGAGCCAAGAGCCTAGGCTACTTGCACAAGATATCGATTCGCAGTTACCTAACATCGCCGACCGCTCCTAAAGCTTTGCTTAAGTCATAAACCCGTTTCCGTATACCACATAGCAAGGCACTAGGAGTTTTTTCTCCTTTACCTCCTAACCGTTACCTCCGTCTGTCTATAACTAATGTCTAATGCTACGTGCAGCCGTTAGGTCATCGGTCATCGGAGACAAGCAATCAAGTAGTCATTTGCGAACAAACGGACAGGCGGACAGGGGATGGAATGCGACCGTGTCTGCGTATGCTAAGGTCTTATATTGAAGTTACCTGTCCACCTGGAAAGTCGGGAATTGACTGCTGACCGGATTGTGGCTCTGCCGTGACACCGCACGTATTACGAGCTCTAATACATACTATCTACATCTACTAGTCACATACCTCAATACCTAAAGTGGCTCGCTCTCGCTTTCCAATCCATCCGCTTACAAGAATCCAAGATTGACGGTTCTTGAACAACCCGTTCATAAATATGACATCAAAATGGAACAGCATAATACCATTTCATTACACAACTCAATACTATCGTTGCAACATGTTGCAACATGCATAAGAGTCAGATTGATCTAATACGCTAACTCTCAATTGATTATTATAAAATTCTACGTGTTACCAATGAGTGTTATGGACCATATTCGAAAGATTGCTTACGAATCGGATCTGTGTCGGGATTGCTGAACAATACATTGCACACATAATCCGGCGATCTACCGGTAAGGGTTGAATAGTCGGGTCTGGGGAAAGGAAGTTTGCCTAGCGATTAATAATTACTAACAACGGCTTTGAACTACGAATCCGTACAAGGAATAGTCTTCGAAAGGCATAACTCATAACGCCGAGTCGGATACAAGAATCAAACTAAACCTCCGGAGCTATTTTGTCAGGTTACTATGTACTAACAGCATCCATGAACGCTAACTAGTATGATTCATCCATTTTTACATTAGATAATACAACTAAAGTAGTAAATAAGGATTTTCGTCATGATTTCTGTCGCATTCGCAGCGCATCGGCATAATAAAAATTCTTCATAGACAATCACCACAATCTCTGACTCTTACCTCGTCAACTCTGATGCGCCCTTTCGGTAAAGCCCCAAAATCCGCAAATCTCCGCGCACAAGCGCAAGCGCAAGATATAGAATCGATCGATCACTATAGCACATGCATTACAACAATCCTGGGTTGATGAGTTGGAATTCAAATATCGACCCAATATCAATGACGGCATAAAATTAGCAAAGCCTCCTTGCATAAAATGACAAATCCGCGAAATAACAAAGCGCGGGAATTTAATACAAGCACTACAAGGCATGCTGTTGCAATCTAATCAGTCGTCACAAGGATGTTTCGTCACAGGACTCGGCAAGGAATATATCGGACTTTTGGGAGCCTTTCTTTTAACTGCCAAACCCGAAGCCTTTTCATATATCTCGGGTCCGTCATAAGGCCACCATCCCGTAGTATCCGCAAGGAAAAGGACCAATTAGGTTCAACTCAACCAAGCCAACTAGTAGATCAACTATCGCTATATGAACTTTTTTGAGGCTGTTAGGCGTCGGTCGGTCGCCAAGTTACATAAGGCACCTATACAACAAATGCGGTGGTCGTAGCAGGTAAAGTGATTTTTATCGCTCTCGGTAAGGTCTCGCGACCGAGACGATACACGCGGTCTCTCCCCAGTTGATTCATATGGGATCGCCCGTTGTCCACATGGCGCAGTTTGCGAAGACGCATGCAACGCAGCTAAACCCTAGGCGCACTATGAGTACTATGTCACGAGGGATTCAGGCACACCCGTTTGCGCACTTTGCGTCGTAACCTTTGTTACGCCCGTCGACTAGCAACGGAAACAAGAAACGGGTAGGACTTTCGCGTCAGGATGACAAACACGGTAAAGTGATATTATTGACATTATTGATATTATTCATTTGTTTTCGACGTTGCATCCCAAGGGCGACCCTTCTCGAGTCCCCCTTTGTTGATGAATCGTATACTCGATCTAATTGGGTATCAAGGTCCTTTGTTCGAGACATGCTTGCATAATATGTAATACCAATACAGCTGCATTGTACTTTGATGCTATTGATGCGACATCATAAATCACTTCTAGAAGATTTCCAATTCCGTCGATGTGACGCTGACAATTCTTTGCTGCTTGGCCTTATCCTGTTGACTGATTGATTGATATGCGAATTCGAAACGACCCATGTGGAGAGGGTCATAGAAAAAAAAAGTACAGTACATCCAGAATAAGTTATGAAATGATGGAATCTAATGCGACTCAAAAAGCCTTAGCTAGCCCCTGTCAGCTTACATATACCAGCCTAGCCCCGTAAAACAAAGTTAGGTACTTTATGTACCTCATACGGCGTATGAATTTGTCAAAAAATGCAGGGGTTCTATTGTAGGGCTGAAATTACATTATTATGTAAGTCAGGTACTTGTATACGTAGGGGCCTCCAAGGAGGTCATTCCGTTTGAATGATTCGGTTAACCACACTACCGGAAGTTTACTTTTCCCCAGGATCTCCGTTCAGCTGATTCAATACTAGTTCTCCTTAGGGGGTTTGCCAATGCCGCCTTTCGCTTTGCCCAACCTTATAAGGACAAGTCGGGATTCATAAAGCGGGAGCAATTGGTTGGTTGATTGGCGTCATTGGTAACGTAACGATGTTATCTTAGCCAAGATCTCTTGACATTGCCATTCTGTGGCTTTGCAATTTCAAAGTCCTTATTTCTCGTACGAGTCGTCCATCTAGACCAATACAATTTTTTAGCCTAGAGATTAAACCCCGAATCGTCTAGTGTTCACGACCTCGTACTACAAGGTGTTGTTGCTACGACGACTAGAAGTATGACAGAAAGCTATATCAGTCTCTTGAAACATATAAACAAGTCATCGTTTTTGGTTTTTGGCTCCCTCAACTCACAGATAGCAGCCTACATAGGATTTACACTTTGACAAACTAAACAACTAATATGCTCAGTACCTACCTAGGTACCTAATCAGCATTGTGCGGCGCAATATACTTCCTGTTCCTGCCAAGGACAAACAATCCTTCCGAGATGGGGTGACTCGATGCCGCTAGATCAAGATCCGAGCCTTTATGGAGAAACGGGACCGGGTCGGAATTAGCCCACTCTCTCTCTCTCTCTAATATCCCCATAACAGAGTAATTTAGCGAACCATTCGGAGACATCTTCATCATGTAGCGTACCATCCAACAAGAAAATCGACAAGCCTTGCGAAAGAAATTCTCCTGATGGACTTATTGGTTGATCGTGTCGGTGGATTGATATGCATTATCTAAATTAATCTATAGAAAAATGCTACGTGTTTAGGTAGGGTTGCAGAGAATAATATTCGCTCGTACTTCAGCCTTCCAGAAGACCTTCGAGAAGGCTTCTCTCGCATGCATACACGTGGTGGGATCTGCAGGAGACTTCGCTTACGCGAAAGTGCTGCTTCGAGCTGGAGACGAACCAGCCAGTCAACTCGTAGCATTGGCTAATCGATGCGCGGATCTGATACAACAGCTAACTTGTCAATGTTACCCAATTTACTCTGCGTAAGGACTACAGCTATGCAAGTAGACAGACTAATATAAAATCCTTCCAGAAGGGGCTACTCGCATCTAACCTCTATTCGTTCCCGAGGGGTACCGTTATAGATATCTGAATCCCCTTTCTCGCACAGGCGCGAGCAGTCTCCAGCATAACTACTACAGTAGGTAGCAACACTAGAACGGCGAGGATACCTCGAATCCTTCGCCTCTGCGTGTACCAACCAACATTACAGGTACCAACGCAATATACGGCGCTTATTGGCGAAGGAGGGCGCGAAGGATTTGTATGTGCAACCCTCCTTTTGGCACATGAAAAACGTGGCATCCACGGTCCCTGCGTTGCAACCCCAATCGCACAACTCGGCAGTCCAATTTCCCCTCTGACATCAGCTGCCACAACCTTACTAACAATTCCAATTTGGGTTGTGGGGATGCTATGAGATGAGATGAAATGAACTAACACAGCTGTCTTCTATAGAGTCTAACGCCACAAAGATGAAAGCTGGAGGGGAGGATAAAAGCTTGTACACAGGATTGCTACACTCCTATTCAATACAGAGGGGGCTGACATGTCTCCAACACCGATGATGGAATAGGTGGTATACATGAGCTCCTTCTGACGCAACCGTAACCGTAGCCTCGCCGGCTTCTCATACAGCCGAGAGCCTACTTCACGATCGACGCCCTGCAGGCGAGACATACACAAGCTCTCGTGGTTCTAACTCTTTCGCGTGACAACGGGCCAGAAATTACCGTTCTTACTATCCACGCTTGTACGCACGACTCGCTCTCCCCAACGCCGATCTAGTACGCGTTTTGCGGCAATAAGCTCGCAACAGCGTGGAGATCGTGATCCGAACTTAAGCGTCTCGGGATCTAGGACATGGGAAGTAGATAGCGGGAATATTCAAGGAGTATACGCTGTGCCGCACTATGAGATTATCTATTGATTTACACTAGGAAATAACCCATATGCCGCAGTTCCAGCCCTAGATACCTCATCTATTCTCACATTGCTACTACCTACCTCTGTACGTATATAGAATGGGATGAGGGGCATGGGGGTCAGGCTAGGCCCCCTTGTCTCTTCGCACGTGGCTAGACGAGTGAGACAAGGGGCTACACACCACTCAGGACCCTGCAACGCACGCGTGAGATGTATGTGGCATGCTCGACTAGGCAGGTAATGTTTCTTTTTTATTAGGCACCTCGCTAACTAGGATAATAGCAGCTATGCTAGCGAAGACATGTAAGCACTTCTTTAATATATAATCATAATGATTACATATCCAGTAGCTGTATGTAAATTGCGAGCACTAACTATCCTACTCGTAGTAACAGATCGACAAATGAGACTATGGGCCTACCGTATGCAGATTGTAATGAATGAGAAGATGTAATCAATAATTTCAAATTGTTCTTTGATATTTCTAGAAGGACTTTATGAATCGTCAATACTTGTGCACACATTGGAATGGGTTATATGGTTCGTCATCGGATAATCGGCTGCTTTCTTTTGTGTAGGTACCCTGGGAAATGATACTCATGTACTCTATGTATCTAGAGAAGTGCTGAGAAATATATTCGCACTCCGAGATATGCCGTGGCGTCCACTACCGGACCTCATCCATAGTCCTGGGACGCCGGCTCCGGCCCTACGAGTGGATAGAGTCCACAGAACAAGCATATGCAGTTTGCATTCGTTCGCATCTCTTAACCTCATTATGCTGAGATTTTATCAATGTTAGCATATTGTAGCAGTATGTGTATAGTAGCTAGTATCCTTTGATATCGTCTCCTAATTCTTCATACGGCATGTCCCACCGGTTCATCGTCTTTCTTATGTCAGAGTAGCGGACATTGAATAGCATGTATTGTATGCATCTGAGACATGTCTGCCCTTTTGGGAATTCTATCATATTTCATGTGCAGATATGTACCCTCGTACATAGCTGACGACGCCGATCACGGCTCCATCTTCCCGGAGACCTATGGGTTACTTTCTACGTACAGTGTATAATCGAGCTACCTGAATAACGTAGGTACCTAGGAGATTACTCCTCGTAGCACGGTATTACCGTACCCAAGGGACAGGAAAGACAGTCCCAACAGTCGACTGGCACTGGTTAAGCTTACTATGTATGGGCAGGGGTTGGGAGCTATGATGCTCTCTAGTCCCTGAAAACATCATAATCTCTATGAATCCATCCCTATCTGTAATGGAGTAAGTAACGATCCCTAGGACTATCTGATAATCTCGTAGCAGATTCAAAGCTTGTCCTTATCTATGCATCTCATCAACCCAGGTTCGTAGCATAACTAATAAGAATACGATGAAGCAATCCTCCACGGTGCTCGGCCAACGAAGCTGCCCGTCAGAACCCCGAAAAAGTGCGGCCGGACAGGTAGGGCTTCCCCATTGACAAATTACTCGGGGGCGTAAGCTACGCAATGCATTCCCTTGTCCGCACCACCCAATTAGAACCCTCACCCGCGCTGCTGGTATTAGTGATTCCTGAATGCAGTAAGAAATAAGGCTGCGGGCGGCCGAAAGATGGGCAAGAGTCTGCGAGATCAGCCCAGGGCCGATTAATCATATCACATATCTCTAGACCGTCCCAAGCCCAAGTCCTCGGGTTCGAGGGATCCATATGTACAGACTATCGTCAGCAATTCCTTCTAGAAAAAGTCTTCCATGCATGAAGAATGCTCACCCCTCATAAGCCTCAAACACTTCTCTGGAAACACTAAGGGGTAAAGTCTCACGCACAATCACATCCCATAAAACATGTCATCTACCTAAACGTCGGTCTTTCCAGCCACAACATTCCTAAGCCCTAACGCTCAGACTATCTACGCTAGTCTGCAATTTCCTGCCGCGAGATTCGGAGAAGGGGGCTCGTCAGAAAGACTAATGAATGTAGCAAGTCCAGCCGGTGCGGTCCAGGGACTCGCTCTGGTACGAGGCGGGAGCAAATGAAGGTAACGCCATAGTGCGAATTTCCCGCGTCCAAGCTCTGCAGTCTAGACTTTTCAAGCCTCATCTAGTTGAGACCTATGTAGAAGAAGAAAAGGTCTCAGCACAGACAACGGTACGGTATGTACAACCAATTAGCCTAGTGTAGTGTATATACCGGATCATATGCCGCATCCATCAGACCAGCCATCGTACGTATGTAGTAGTGTATGTAGTAAGTAAATAAGTAAGGGAGAAAAGCAATATCCGCCTCTTTCGCACGAATGTGTACATATGTAGGTGCCTATCTTCGCGCACGGACAGCCCAGGGGTTTCACCGACAAGCCCATATCCCGTAGCCATGGTAGCGCGGCAAGGTCCCGCGGAATCACCGCATTGACAGATGCAGCCCAACCACTAGCAGCGGCAGCTCTCCTCTCAGACCCAAGTCCTCGGGTTCCAGCCGCAGGAAACTACTGGGCGCCATTCCGTGGTCGCCGACTCCAGTGGTTCCTCGCCTACGGTACGTACAAGTATTTACTCGCCATGGTTGTGGTTATAGGCTTGAGCTTTGAGACACTGTCTGGTATGTACCTTGCAGCTATGACATGGATATGGATGGCACGAGCAAACAGTTTACATACCTACCTTTGTATGTACCTAATGTATGTATGTAAGGTACATGGTAGTTGAACCAGAGCAGCAATTCAACGTGTCGAAATAGCCTCGTATGTAAATCCCTTCAACGCCCGTGCTTGCCAAGAAATCCAGAACACCGTAACGCAATAGGGGCAAATCGTAAACCGTCCATTATCCGTGCGGCATTGAACGTGATAATCTTAAAATCCAAACCCCTTTCCGTAATGCCCGGTTGTGCTTTGACCCCAGGTCAGGTCATTCCAAAGCCCCGTCCCGAGCCGGTTCCCGCGTCAACGGCATGTCCGTAGTAGCCTATTGTTTACTCACCGGGGGCGGGTCGCTTCCTCCCGTCTTGGGGCCCGTTTGTGATGAAATTTAGCCAGTTCGGTCCCGAGTATAAGGCATACCCCTGATCAATGATATTAAATGGCAAGTATGGAATTCGTATAATTTGATGACACTCCTTGTGCGCTTTTCGGGTTGATCGCAGGTGCCTTAGATATCTCATCATCTCCGAAATTTCCGTACTAACTCCCGAAGTACCCTCAAAGGGGGTAATAACGATGGTGACGGCCTATATACCGTGTATTTGAACGCTTAGTATCTAGGCGCCTATGATATGTAATAGATTAAAGTAACCTCAGCCCCTTAGTCTATTGGGGCTGTAAGTGATTTGCTGTGTAATAGTTCTGCCGATAGCGAGTGGCTCCTCCTCTTATATGCCAACGTAGTAAAAGGGGAAGTTTGGTTGGTTTTAGTGAGTGTCGGTGACGTAGGGTCGTAGAGTCAAGTTAATACAGTTGCATGTAGTATTAAGATGCAAGATATTCTATGCGAGCATAATAATATGATGTTGATACGCAGATGCAACCAAGATTAAACGATATTGTACTTATATCTTTCATGGCTGTCTATAGATGGTTAAACCCCCCTTCAATAATTTGAACATGACGACTACTCAAGTCGCAGCTTCTTTCGCTTTCTCTTTCCACCAACTTCCCGATGCTCTTCGATATTCAACAAAGCTTCCCGCTTCTTCTCTCCCACTTCCTTCATATGATCACGGATAAACCTGCTTTCCAGGTTGACCCCTTCTTCATCCCATTTCTCTAGCTCCTTACCAGTGCGAGTCTCTATAGCGTGAATGCGCTCCACATCCCTCTGCCCGATAAAGGTAACCGCATCACCCTTTCTCCCCGCTCGAGCCGTACGTCCCACTCGGTGAATGTAGTCATCGGGGTTCTGAGGAACGTCGTAATTCACTACGAGGCTAACTTCTGGAATGTCCAGACCTCTGGAGGCGACATCTGTAGCGACGAGGATTCGTGCTGCTGATGCCCGGAATCGTCCTAAGTTATCCACACGTTGGCGTTGTTGTAGCCTAGAATGAAGAGATGTAACGCGGTGATCTAATAGTCGTAGTAGATGGTGGAGGTACTCTGCCGTCGAGGTACGGTTGCAGAAGATGATAAGCGACTTCTCGATGTTGGCTTCAGTTAAGAGGAAAGCATGTAGATAATACTCCTTGTGAGTAACATTGACCTGAATATACATCTGATGTAAAGTAGTCGGGACGGCAAGCTTCTGCGTATCGACCTCACATACAAAAGCAGACTCCTTCCCGGGTTTTGGCGGCATATCCTTCAACGCACGTACCTCTGGAGTGATTGTAGCGGTAAACAGAAGCGTCTGTCTCTCGCTCGAGGGTGGAAGGACTCCTAGGCATTCTTCAATGTCAGGTAGCATGCTCCCAGGCCCACCTGCTGCTAGTAATCTATCCGCCTCATCAAGTACTACGAATTTGACCCTCCGCAAGCCCGCTATGGTATCCTCGCCGGAAGAGTTGATGTGGTCTGCTAATCGACCCGGGGTGGCGATTACCACATGAGGTCTTTGGGCGAGAGCAATGGCTTGTGGACGCATATCAGATCCTCCAGTGATTAATATTATCTTTAGAGATTGGGGTGAAGATATCGCCTTGAATTGCTCGTAGATTTGCAAGGCTAACTCTCGGGTAGCTGTTAATACTACCGCGTAGATAGAACTTGGGTCCTCGGACCACTTCTGTAAGATTGGTGCGGCGAAGGCAACCGTCTTTCCTGAACCTGTCCTACTCGTTCCAATACAGTCTCTACCCTTGAGAATTTCAGGGATACAGGCTTTCTGGATACCTGTCGGCCGTTTGATTGCCATATTGGCAAGAGACCGAACAAGCCATGGCTTCAAGCTCAGAGACTCAAAAGTCGTATGATGGTCCACAGGGGCGGCAACGGGAGTATTCACAGGGACAGCCGTTGCTAATAAACTTTCTGACGGGTTGGTCTGCGCAGTGCCGGCACTCTTCCGCTTGATCCTGGAGGGTACATTCACGGATGATGTACCTAGTTCGGCGACAGCGGGAATTAACTCTGCAGATAGCTTGCGTCTCTTACGAGAAACCGCACTGTCGAGTGAGTCGAACTCTACTTCCGATCCTAACTCGCTTCCATCGGATATGGTTTGGTGTCGCGACGACGACGACGACGAGGAGTCCAATATTTGATCGTCCGACTCAGACGCGGATGCAGCGGCTACTTCCGCTACAGATGCCGGCATCTTAGTATTAATACGTACGTAGTTCGTATATAGCCGCTGTTTATTTATTTATTGTATTTTCCAAGAAGACGCATTAATCGACATACAGCTAAGCGCTTGAAAAGAGAACAAAAAAAAATTGAAGTCAATACCGAATAAAACAGGGATCTTAATGTGGAGAAAGGTTAAGCATTTAAACCAATGAATTACTGTGCCTTGAAGGTACCTAGCTACGCTAAGTAAACGCGCGGCTGTTGGTTCAATCGATTGCTCCATTGCCAGATTACCTTTTCGATGGGGTCCATCCTTATTACTCCTACGGCAGCATCGATTGGACTTGTTCCCTGCATCAAAAATACGTGATCGTAATGCGGGAAAGTAGTACTTGAGTACATTAGGTAGATACCTGGATACATACCTAAGGTAGGTACCTAACACAGGCATCTCCAGCATCCATTTGCTGCACCCTGTAATCTGTAATTCATGCTTAATGTCCTATGTTCCCTTAATCAAACTCTCAACTTTTTTTTTTCTTGTCCTTGATGTTTCAAGTAATAGATGGGGTCATCGGAAACCCGGAAAACCGGAAAACATGACTACCAAATTTTGCGGCCGTTAGCGAGTCGGGGAAGAGCTTGTCGGCGTTTTAAGCCCAGGTCTCGTCTTCCAGCCCTATGTTGTGATAATGTAATCTCAAAGCCGAGAACATATACATATATTGCCCTAAAGGATTTTCGGTTAAGATATAGCCAATCTCTTGTCTCGAGCGCTTGGCAAACTTGAGCAGGGTCTAGACGGGAAGGCATCTTTCCATCCTTGTATACATGCATGTGCTATGCACACATGATATTGCCCCTGACCATAGCTGGCAGCTGGTTCACCGAAGCCTTGCTGCAAGAGAAAGGTCGATTTCACGAGCCAAGTATGAGCACTGCATAGGGGGCCAGAGAGGCAGAGGTGAGTGGATGTTAAGATGAAAAACTTGTGAGAAGAATTACGAATGCATCCCATCCCTCGCGTAGTCGAACCACCATCGTTCAACCTCATTGTTCTACACGAGAAGGCATCACGATCGGGCACCGGTCATCCTTTGAAGCCTTTGGACCCCAATGTGTAAAACTCCAAATGGACTTCCGAACCAATCTACTCTAGCTTCGTGTCGCTATCGAGAATTGGGGTCTATGCCGTTTAACCCCAAAACTGGACCCCAACAGCTTTTGCAGTCTTTGAGCTTTTGAGCTTTTGAGCTTTGAGGTACATATGCCCTATGGTGCGTAGTTCCACAGAGTTGGGGTATTCGGTCTAGGGCTACATACCTTAGGTACAAGGTAGCTTATACACTACGTGACGGCGAGCTACCCCTCCCAAGTCGGGGGGTTTCATACAGTATCTAGATGAGCACAGTCTCACCTCACCGTCGCGCAGTGCCCACAACGGTACATAGCGCTCGACATGTACATACATGTAATATACATACATGTAATACATACGTAGGTTAGGTGGTTGACAATTGCTAGGTAGGTAGGTAAGGTAGCTTACCACCCAAGTACGGAACTACCTCACCCTCGCTAATCCTTCCTGGGTGCCGATTCCCGACTGAATTTGAGATAATCTCGCCTACTCCGAGAAGTGGTGAGAAGTAGACGCATTAGCGGTCGACCTAATACAGTCTGACACAACAACCGGACATGTCAGCAACGACAAGACCTGCTCGAGTCTTGTCGAAACATTCTTCGACAATGAAATTCTACGATGGTGAGTGGTGGAGGCGGGACTAAGGTGGATCATTGATGTGTGGACAGGGTGGACAGCGCTCCCCCGGCCAAGCTGGTCAGGGGTCTAGTTGGAGGTTGCAATGTTCCACGATTTGATTCCTTGGGACCCGTAGTCTATGATCGGTCGACCATTAAGTCAACCATTGAGATTGTACTAAGATGGTACTGTACGACTTCAGGCCAACCCCTTGCGCGCAACAGCTGCTTCTCAGACGAATGCAGACGAATGTACATAGATCAAATGTTTTGATTGACCATTCATTCCATTCATGTGGATGATGATCATTTCAGACCCGAGCGTCGTCACATCTCAGGATGCTGGGGGGGGTTAAGCGGTTCTATGTAATAGGTTGCATAGGTTAGGTACATATTTCAATATTAGGTACTTCATATCATAATCATATTATATTGTATTGTATTGTGTCTTTTTCCTTTTCATATTTCCTTCCTAACTAATATATATCAAAAAGCCCTCCTACAGGCTCATCTAGTTTTTTTATTGTCTTGGTTTGTTTTCATTATCTATTGTTAACCGCCAAACAACTCGTCTCATATTATAATTCGAAACTACGCCAACGTCCACCGGCATCCACCTGACACTTTTTTCAGTAACTGTCTTACGGGGGCAGCTTCCATTCTATGTCCTAGGCTCGGGCCGGTCTTGATAAACTTAAAGACCTTCCATAACTTAAAGACCTTACCTTAGGTAGGTACCTAACTTGGGTAACCCCCACTAGCCACATTTTCGATACTTTGATACTTCAATATTGAACTTATCTCCTGTACTTCTCTGCCTTTAAACTTCCTCGTTACAAAATCTTTTATATCTGTTGCCCGCATATCCACCTATTCGTTCAGCGCATGCGCGTAGATAACTATTGGTCCTAGTTAATACACATACGGAAGATAGTACACATAATACGACAACTATCTCTCTGCATACATCCGACTGGTAACTAAATATTAACTAGCAACTCACAAGTCACCAGTCGCATTAACCCAACTTGACCCATTTCACATCAATTCGCTCGTTGATTGCTCAGTTGTCGTTTATCGCCCAATCTACAGGAATTTGGCGCTGAGGACCTGGTACTGACATGGTATTGGCATGAGAACCCGCATCAAGATCCCTGTAATCGAGTCTTGTTTCTGGTTCATCTGCCCCGTCTTTTTCATCATTAACAAAAGCCACCACCACTCAAAACCGCATCAAACCCCCAGGTCTTAGCGGGACAAGCCAAGGTTCACCAACGACAACTCAAAGATTCGGGTCTAATAACTACCTACCTACCTTAGGTCCTTGTCGTCCAACGTCTAGCCAAGTCTTTCTCCGCTTCCTCGAGAGGAAACTAGACGAGAACAGCTATTTACTACATTATTCTACTTATACTACCTGACTACATACAACCACATAAACCTGGACTGCTGGCCATCCAACATTTGTACAGGGGTTTAATTTCAACTACGCGCGGCACACAAGCAAACTATCTCCTCCACACTCCTCGGTTCTCCCCCACGAACCCATCAACGATTCGATTTTGACATTTTCATTTTTGTCAAGTCCAACTTTTGATTGCTCTAAAAATTCTTTCATTTACTTGATACGATTCCGAATAACTATAACTATAATTCTTTCTTTTATAAAATAGTGCCACCAACGGATTTGGCAATACGTCACTCCAATATATTACCTGCGGCGCTGTGTAACCTCGTTAGAGCATATCCTGGACATATCTGGACATACCTGGACGAGTCGTGTTGACGGACTGTTACATACAGCCAGCTTCGGCCCTTTTATTTCTTCTTTGTACTCGATCAGCCCGACCGCCTCCTCGGCAAACTACACCACGAACACGCACTCACCCACAGGCTTGCTGCGCAATCTGTGGTTTGAATACCGACCTACCACAAAATGCCCGATCACGAGAATCCTCAGGCTTCTGAGCCCGTAATCCAAAATGTAATTGTGCTCTCCCCTCTTAGCTTCGCCTTCATTAGCTTTATTTTCTTTGTCTTCATACGTCTGTCCTTTTGTTTCTACATACTTCCAGCAAGCTTCCCCGCTCGTGTGCCTGAGATGCTAACGTACATTTATCATGAAGGTTTCAACTACAACAACTCTCGACGCTTCTGTCAGCACCCCTCCGCCTGCTCCAACACCTATTCCTATCATGTCGTCTTCCCCTGCTCCTCTTCGACCCGCGCTCGGAATCGGTAGGCCGAGTGGCGGACGAACACCGAGATTAGGCCTAGCTATCCCACCATCTCCCAATGTTAAGCCGGTAGGCGCCGCAGGCGCTCCATCGCGGCCTCAACTCACAGTACACGTCGCCACTCCGATGGGTAGCACCATCGCACCGTATGAACAACATCGTCCTACAATCCAGCCGGGACAATCTGCGAGCGGTGGTAGCGAAAGCAGCGCGGCGCACTCGCGATCCGGTAGTTTCGGTCCCCTCGACGGAAGAGCTAGCAACCCTACATCCGCAGGTTCCCAATTCTCCGCCCTATCGTTTGCGTCACAATATGGCATCGGTTCGAGGCCGCAGGGCACTCCGGACCCCATATCTGCTGTCGGTTCTATCTACTCTGAGAGAAGCGAAGGGGGCATCGGCATGGAGCGAGATAATAGCACGCAGGGTCTCGAGGATAGCTTCGATAAGCTAACTCTAGAGAAAGCAAGAACTGCCGATGTAGATGAGCTTGATGATAATGGCTGGAGAATCGCGAGCGCAGAAAGCAGAATTGTTGAGTTGGGCAGCCTAGGCGAGGGTGCTGGCGGTGCTGTCACACGATGTAAGCTGAAGGGTGGAAAGACGGTATTCGCATTGAAGGTATGCCACCTACTTTTTAGACCCCGACTTGAACAGGAGCGCGCATAGGTGCTAACATGCTTTTTAGGTCATTACTACAAATCCAGACCCGGATGTTAAGAAGCAGATCTTCCGTGAAATCAACTTCAATAAGGAATGCGCATCAGAGCACATTTGCCGATACTATGGTGTTTTCGGCGACCCTGCTACAGCCACTATTTCTATCGCTATGGAGTTTTGCGAGGGCGGATCCCTCGACAGCATTTACAAGGAAGTAAAGCGACTTGGCGGCCGAACAGGCGAAAAGGTCCTAGGGAAGATTGCCGAAGGCGTTCTTCGAGGTTTGACTTATCTCCACAGTAAAAAGATTATCCACCGAGATATCAAACCATCGAATATTCTGCTTTGCCGCAACGGCGAAGTCAAATTGTGCGACTTTGGCGTTTCCGGTGACTTTGGAACCAAGGGTGAAGCTAATACTTTCATCGGTACGAGCTATTACATGGCACCGGAGCGTATTACCGGTCAAAGTTACACTATCACGTCAGACGTTTGGTCTACCGGAGTAACACTCCTTGAGGTAGCTCAGCACCGATTCCCCTTCCCAGCTGACGGAACCGAAATGCAACCCAAAGCAGGATTGATCGATCTGTTGACCTACATCGTCCGACAACCGATACCAAAATTAAAGGACGAGCCGGATGCCAACATATTCTGGAGTGATAGTTTTAAATATTTCATCGAGTGCTGGTAAGTTATTTAAACCCGTTAACTACTATTGAGAAGAACATCGATGTCTAATGAATGAATAGTCTCGAGAAAGAACCAAACCGCCGGGCAAGCCCATGGAGGATGCTTGAGCACCCTTGGATGATGGAGATGCGAACAAAGAGGGTCAATATGGAGAGATATCTATCCCAGGTCTGGGGATGGGACGAGGAGACGAAATCCTAAACTGAAAAGCGTAGCCCGAACAAGCGACCTCTAATCCGTTCACCCAAGGCAAAAAGCGGCTTCCAGGCACCGAAGCCTGTTATGATACCCACATAACTACATCGCCACATCCACGCCCATCTAAAAGGCAGGTGAATAACTAACACTACCTACCGAACGTCGCTGCGCACCACCGCCAGCAAGCCATAATTACACAACATCTAGACTGCCAGTATTAGAAGGAGGGGTGCCTTCTTACTTATTACGCCAAGGAGCATTACTGGGATACCCGGAAAAGGGGCAAAGCGGCCGGAGGAGGCAACGTATATCACTCGTATATATATTCACACATATACTTATGGAGTTTGGGATTGAAACCGTAAGGTTTATAGGACTGATTAGGTACACATTGAATAAATATGTTCTCAAGTATTAAGACACAGGCACATTTTCATTTGGATATGATAAGTCGGGTCTGTTAACCGTTCGTAAAGTGGTATGTTTAAAGTCGGTGGGCAGCTACCTCCTGAGTAGGGTGGGTGTTTTCGTTGTTCCAAGACAACAGCGAGGCATCAAAACTTAACTCAAGTAGTTGGTAAGCGACTACTTAATTCAAGTACCCACCCAGGTATATAAATGTTAACAACCTCTCGTTCAAGCACATACGACCATAGGATCTGGAGAACTCGGGATCCCGTCTGCTCTCCCCTGATAAACCGGATACCGCCGGACTAGTAGTTGGGTCGGTGACGACCAGCGAATCCCCGGTGTTGTATGTTTTTTGGTCCTTTTTACTTCGTTTTCTTTCTGTTAGTTAGTCTTTTTTAGGTCTTAAATTGGTGATCGAAGTGGGGTGTACACTTGAGTCTCGCCGGCGCCTAAGGACATAATGCTCCTGTAAGTGGCAGTAAACTGTGCCCTTGCAATTTTAGAAAAGAGAGATCAGCTCGTGTAGTACTAAATTTATCATCTATACCTATGTACTATTCGTAACTTCAAGCACCGATTATGAGACATGTCCTATTATAGAAATAGACGACATTGAGCCTTACCATCTGGGTAGAGTCGTAAGAAGGTTTAGATTAAGATAGGTTAATCTGAGTACTTGCGTTTTTCAATAGAAAATTGACTCTTATGATAAGCTAGGATATTGAGTAAATATATTTCAGGTCATGTTATGTCAAGTTGGTTTCAGGGTATAATATTCTCATTTATAAGGTAGTCTCTCATACCTTACAAAAGTCTTAGCCTTTATTTAAGATAGTTACATTAATTTCTTGAACAACTCCCTAGAACACCGAAGACTCCGTGATGAATATTTAGAGGAATATCAGAGGAAATAAATATGAGTTATGACTTAGAATGAAAATAGACACGATAATCCCATCCCCGTAGTTGTAAGTAATGGAGAAATTCTTGTTCATCGGGACTCTCAATGCAAACGTTGATTTTTGTAGGGGTTTGCCTTCCTAATGCCACCGAGGACGAAAAGAAGATAATCAGATTCGAACCAATCCTCTAGAACAGTTAGTTAATCTGAGTCCCAAAGTGATTCACTTTCAGTTTCAGACTCATCCGGAACTAGATCATCTCTTGGATGCTCTTCTGCATACTGTCGTATCGAATTAGCCACAGTGAAATGCATCCCTCGTTCTGCCCTTTTAATCGCCCCGTTATAACCGGTTTGCCCCGGGCTACCACTAACAGCTCCGACATTTAAGAGAAGGTGAACCACATCAAGTCTTCCATGCCGCGCCGCCAGGTCTAGCGTGTAACATCCTCTTACACTGGGTGTATTGATTTCAGCTCCCCCGTATATCAATAAAAGCACGATCTCTATGTTACCTTCGATAGCAGCAGTCTGCAAGGCCGTATGTCCATCCTCAGTACTTTCAGGGGCGTTAATATCCGCGCCTTTCTCGATCAAGAACTGTATAAGACTGACTCTCTTTGCTTCTTCCCCTTCTAGAACATCATACCAATCACATGCAGCTTGGAGGGCCGTCTTCCCATGTATATCAGCCGCTTTCTGGTTGATGTCGGCACCCTTTTGCAGCAGCTTTTCAACCAAAGCTTTATCGCCTTGATATGCTGCAAATTGAATAAGGCTTCCCCTAAAATCGTAACCCAATAATTTGACGTATGCGTTAATATTTACACAAGACTCTAGGAGCCTTTCGATTAACTCGGGCGGTCCTCCATAATAAATCAAACTTGGCAGTGCAAAGTCATCCTGAACCAGTAAGCCGTACTTGAGAAGCAGTTCGAGTACCGCAATCTTTTCCTTTCGGGTTTTGGCTTGCTTTTCATCGAGGCAATGCTGTCCTTGTGAATAGAGACAGGCTTCCCATAGACTTAGGCTGGAGTTATTAGGGTAGAGTAGGTCGTGGGTACGTAATTTCGGTAGAAATAGCTCCATAATCTTAAATAGTGAGCCATTCGCCTCATACTCATGGAGGAGATCGTACACGAATTGGAAAGCATTTGGGTCGTTTGGATGGTGCTTTAAAGCCGAACCACAGTTGACTAAGTAGTTCAGCATTTCGCAACTTGCTGGACCAGGAAGCTTCCTCTGTCCACAAGACCAGTCCCACAACACCGGACAATCTTTGCTTGGAGAGCATGCTGATGCAATAACACTCCGGTTTGTAAGAGGAACCACTGCGTTGGCGTCTACCCCTAAACATAACAGCAACTTAACTGCATCGTAATTGTCAAGCCGCGCAGCTAAAACCAATGCAGCAGCGCCGTATCTTCTCACATCAGCGCCAGTTCGGCTAAGGGCTTCCAAGATATCTATTCCCTCTTTCTGAACACCAGCCACCAATACGTTCGGAGTTATGGTTGCTCCTGATCGAAGAATTAGCCTCAAAACTGTATCAAAGCTCTTGCCAAAGCGATGAACATACGGTTTTAAGACTAGGTGTTCGAGGAGATCTTCGATATCCAGATTATCATGTATACGTTCTTCATGGCTCCTTAATAAACGAAGGTTTGGATCCACACCGAATTCAAGAAGTCTCTGGATAATGTCTATGTTGATACGCACGTCCTCTATATCAATAATTTGATCATTCATAACTTGTTGAAAGAGAACCAACTCCAAGGCTGGGTTCGTTATGGGACCAGACTCTGGCGATTGCAAGGATAAGTATTCTTGAAGGTATTCCTTGCCTTGCGACGCTAAGATACGCATGTTTGATTGAAAAATGTGTTCTGTGGCGCCACTACTGTATGGAGCGAGTTCTTCGAATAGACTTTTGTCCCAGTAATAAAATTTTTCTAATGTGGTGAGACACCATCCCTCAGGGACATCGTATACCTTGCTATCGTTAAGGTAGGTGGCCCACGGTAAGTCGACATTTGCACCACAATCCAAAAACATCTTTAGTATTAGACGCCGAGACTCGTTCTTAAGATTAACACTGGCTGTAGTGAACTGCTCACTTCTGGTTCCAATGAAAACGGATGGTAATTGGTGATAATTTCGGTCTGCAGGTATGCGAAGCTCGCCCTCTGCTAAGGTGATGAGAAGTATTTGAAAACTTGACGCGTTATGTATGATCTTGCGATTTACATCACACGCCCCCAGCAGCAACTTTACACATTCTATATTGCCAGCAGCCGCAGCTTCAACGATAACCGGGCACACTCTGCCTGTTACAATATCATCGGCACGAATGCCGACGTCGAGTAGATCCTGGACGACATCAAGAGCATTTATAGTGGCAGCAAAAGAGAGGTATGAAATCCCACGAGACAGAATCCATTCCTTATGCTGGAATCCAGCCTTCATCAATGAAATAAATGTATCGTCGTAGCGGGATGTGCCGACACACTCAGTTAAGTATGTCCATATGAGCCTAAGCATAGGGAGATCTTGTTCGAACAATCCATCCAGAACTTCTTTCGGTATTTGTCGAGACAGAAGTTGGATAGTTCCGGTAAATATATCGTAATATAGGTTCTGCAGGCTGCGATGAAGACCATTAGAAGCTAAATAAACTACTTTGGCTAGGAGGTAATAAGCATGGATATCTGGTGTAAGTGCCGAAGATGAGGGTACAGTGCTCAAGAAATGCAATCTGGTGGAAGGAACTGCAGCTTTCCAGATCCTAAATGAATCTAATCCAAGTCTGATGTCAATGAGAGTCCTCAGTGAGTTAAGGTCCAGCGGGAGGTTTGTGTCGCTATCAGTTGGAGAAATTGCGGTCGCTAATATATATATATCAGTCGATGTCCGAGGATATAATGACAGAAGGGTTCCAGATACGTACAAAGCATTCTATAGTTAAATTTGACCCATGGGATGCCATTTAGGGCATTGTCAATGTCGGCCAATGATACAACAGGAGCTGTAGGTGAAGAGATTGACGGTTGGGGTGAGGAACTCATTGATTGTTGAGGGTTTGTTGCTGGAGAATGGGCCATCTGAGATCTGGCTGGTGATGGTGATGGTGACGGTGATGGTGTCCTCAATACAACATCCATCGGGAGCGTGGCATCGCCATCTAGGACGTGTGTTAGTCCCGTATATTCTACCATTGTGACTATTGACGTTGACTATCTATTAAAGATATCTTACTCACCCCGACCTGTATGCGGCAAAGGCCCCGACCTTTTAGCCTCCTTTATCACGTCTTTCCAAAGAATCTTTCTGTTGTTATGATAAACTACAGTTGGCAGACCTTTTCTGTTGACAAGGTAATGTCGGTATATTCTCAGCCAGTCGCCGTTCTTGAGCCTCTTGCATAATTTGAGCTTATTCCGGATTATTTTTTGGAAAGCTTTTTTCCTATTGACCTTGATCAGTAATCTAGCCGGAGACTAGGATGAGTATTTAGGTACTTACGTGATGTGTGGGCACCCGTATTCCCTCTCCATGATTTCCATTACTTCTTCGGCAGTTTTATTTTCGACCACGTAGAAACGCTCGATAGTAGGTTTATTCTGTAGCCATATATCCCCCGTAGAGTCTTGAGATGAGCCTCTAGATGATAACATGATGTCAATATTTTTAATAGAATAGGTGAACAGAATTTCGATGAAAGGAATCAAGTCAAGATGCCTATTCAAAGGTGGCTGTTATTCGTAGTTAAAGAGGCTGTGAAGTAAGCACATAGGAGAAAGTTGCAATTTAAAATCGATGGAGATTTTGGGCACCTAACATACCTAGGTACCTAACATAGCCTACCTATGTAGAGCAATTGGGCATTACAGGTTGAAGACAATGTAGAGGTAGGTAAGTAAGCAGATACCTAGTACATAAGTACTACTAGTTCAGCTGAGGTTGTGGGTAATGTAGGTCCAGGTTGTCCAAAATCTCCCTTTACCATCTTCTTCCATAATCTCCCTCCACAATCCCCTTCCACAATCCTCTTCCACAATCTCCTCCCACAATCTCTTTTCCCACAATCTTTCACAATCTGCGGGAAGCCAACGTGACGCATAGTAAACTGCACTTTATTCGATTAAGTAGCCTTATTAAAATATGATTGGATACGTTACTATACTGAATTGGCTATGTGGCATGCCGCATGCTACCTGGTAACCAAAAACTCACCTTTCCAAAATCTCCCCTCCAATTTTTCCCCTTTCCGAAATCCCCCCTTCCAAAGCCTTGTTCTTCGGAAACGCTCCTTTACATTATTCAATGTACACTTTAATGTTTTGTTTCCACTCTGATGCTAGCGCTCAGTAGACATACCGCTATCTCTATAGCTTTCGGGAACATATAAGTAAGCTTTCCTTTCCGTCTTTTATGAAGTTTATAACTACGCTTAGATATTTGTTTCTTCTCCTACTATACTACTAACCAAAGACACTGTTGATTTTGCCCATAATGGCGTTGTCAGGCGATATAATTGTTGGAATCGTTTCCATACTCATCATGTGCATCATCGCAGGTCTCCAATACCTCCCAAGATTCATTCGTCGTCGCAACGCTCAATCACTACAAGAAACTCCAATCAACTACGATCCGCTTACTAGGTCGTCTTCGCTCGAATCTGGGACGTTCTATGCTGCGGTAAGTCCAGTATCCTATCAATGAGGGATCAGCTAATAGCTAATGTTTATCGTCTACGGAAAGAGAGGCGTAAGAGTCGATACGTTTGCGCTTTGGTCATCTCGTATACCAGGTCCCTCCTGGACCTTACCTGATCACGGGTCGGAACTCGATACCCAAGGTAGATATTGTATAGTTAACTACCTTATAGTTAGATGTAAACTTGGCTAACCTACCGGTAGAGCTAGGGCAAATATTCGTACCCCAGCCTGGTCGGATATTAGGAGATGACAGAAGTGCCTAACTTAGAGACATCTACAACTTATACAACGATGTTTCGACGATTGGCAACCCCACGGTTCCACTGGAGGCTGAGCCCTGCCAAGTCTTAGTGCCATCATCCCCTTCCCCCACTCTGCCCCTCATTGACTAGCCCTTGAAAGAATTTCTTTCCCTTCGATCATCCTTCATGACCGCTTCCTTCAAGCTGCTGTTCGGTCTACTTATATCGGCCCCTACTCTACTCTGGGAAGAAATCTCATTCCCCAGACCAGCAGACTACCCAAAAGACGGATAGGCTTTATTTATTTTATTTAACGAACACCAAATGATGGAGTAATCTGTATTTCCCTTTGGCCGGGACCTGCATATTTTAGAAGATACTCCTGAGAGCCCAAGCTATCATACATATCCGTGTACCCCTAGGTTAGCTACTTCTAGAACTTATGCATTATATCACAACAACATTCAAGTTATATTCCGATATAAGTGTAGTTGCTAAACCACATGCCAGCTTTATATAATGAAATACCCACGCAAAATAGCATTAAGTTAGAACACTTCGTAGTGTACCTAGTTACTGTATATTAATAGGTACCTGTTATTTTATTATATTCTTCGCTTACTCGACATTCAAAGACAATCATACGTAAGTCGACACATAACAATCTAAGGAACCAGATAAGCAAGCAAGTGTCAAGTTCAACAACACTAAAAAGAAGAGACATTGCTATGAGGCCTTTCATACATATGATGATCTAGATCAATATCTAAAGTTTACCTAGGTATATAATGTGAATATAATTATTATAAACCGTCACGCACGTAGCTTACTTATTTTCAACGAAACTACGAGGCGCACATAAAATCTATTCGACGACAACGCAGGACGTATTTCCCCAAATTATCATATTATAAATTTTATGTATCGCTTGACTCCCAATATCCTCCCAATCCAGCATCCATCCCTTAACCAATCATGACCCACTCACTAGACATTTGACCCCTTTACCTCTTCAGAGTCTTCTGCTTCTCAGCCGCAACCCTCTGGCCTTTACCCTCAACTAGCAGACCCTTCCTCCTCCTCACGCCATCCATATATCTCTTGGCAACATTTTCCTTATCAGCAAGCTCACCTAGATCCTCGAGATCATCTTCGGTGAAGGGCTGCCAGAACGGGTCCTCATCAACCAGAATGTCGAACCCTTGGAAGATGAGCTGCGGCTGCGCGGCACCTGACGTGCGCTTGCGCATCTCCTCCGCGAACCCGAATGATTCCGCCACGGGGATCGTCGACTGGATAGTGAAGAACGGCGTGCCTTCTTTCATCTGTTCTGAGAGAACGCGGCCGCGACGTCGCGTAATGACATCGTATACGCGTCCAAGGACCTCGGCTATGATTGACGTGAGTATATTGTTTAAAATATCAAGCGACGAGATAAAAATGTGAAAGTTTCGGAAAGAAAAACCTACTGCTTGCTTGGATCTCGCATGAATACATAGCGAGCATAAGGCGTGGAGACCAATCCAAAAAGCCCTGGCGAATAGATTGCTGTACCGTCTTAATGACCTCGCCCGTAAGCCGGCCAAGACGATCCCGTGCAGATGCCTCCTCGTCCGTTGGCGCAACGGTCACGTCTTCGATTATGACAGCTACACCCTGCACAGGCTCGTTACATAACGGACCTTGGTTCATGGCCAGCTGGAATGCATATGTAACCTTGTCGCATAGATGCGCGGCCTTGAGTGTCTCGTCTGCCTTCGGGCTGCTGTCATCCGCTTGCTTCTCCGGAGCGAACACCTTGGGAAAATAGCTGTCTTTAGTTGCATCTATTAGTAGATTTGGACCCGTTCGCTTCGGTCCGAAAGCTGTTATCTTGTCGATGACACCCTTCCACCCCTCACGCCCTTTGCCGCTCTCCAAATTCGCCTGTAGTTGTTTTTTCAACTCGTCGAGAGATATGCTTTTGCCTTCGAGTAGATCATCATCATCATCATCCTCGATTTTCTGTTCTCCGTCGATTCCATTTTCTTGTTCGGGCTCCTCTAGCGCATTTCGTTCTGAGTAAAGACGTTTGATAGCGCCCGGATTTTTGAGGAGGAACTCGGTAACGTTTTCGGGTAATGGCCGTACTCGAATTGTGATGCTGACCTGTTTCGAGTTCGTGACGCCAACAACGACGCCGCGTCCTAATTCCTTATTTGCTGGTGGTCTCATTTCTTCCGCGCGCACAATTGTCTCTCTATACGGTACAATAGGCGCGCCGGCCTGGATATCGCACCTTGCAAATCTCTCCTTCAGATCCGTCAAACACCTTTCTAGATGTAGTTCACCAGCTGTAAGCAGAACGTGTTCGCCGCTTTCGAATTGCTCGTACTCCGCACACGGATCGCTCTTCACAAGCAGCTTAAGACCCTCGATCATCTTATCCAGATCAGATGGATTAACCGGTTCAAGGGCAACTCGCACGATTGGTTTTCCCGCCATGCCCACGCCCGCTAAATTGACGGAACCTTCCAATTGGCTACATAGGGTTCCCGATTTTAGGATATGGCCGTCGAGGCCGCCAATGCCGAAAACGACACCAGCCGGGACAGAATCAAGCGATTCCAAGTTGCGGCCCATAAGCATATATAGAGCCGTTACAGTCACCTTCTGAGGCTCGGGGGCCGCGTGAGGATTTGCGGGAGAGAATTTTGGTGGCAAGACATAAAGTGAGTCTCCAACTGATAGAGTACCTGAATATATCCGTGCAAATCCTATCAAGTGCTCTGGATCGATCTTTTTCTCCTCTTCGGGTACGAAGTCATCTAGATTCGCACTATCGAGAGCCGTAGTAAGGGAATCCACCCCGTTGCTTTCTGCAGCCTGAGCACGAGCGAATTCTGCCCGTTTTTTCCTGGCCAGTTCCCTGGCTTCCTCGGCGCTGAGCTGATTAGTTCGCCTCTTATTCCCCGGAAGTTCGCTTTCGGGTATGGAAACCATTTTGCTGACGTATGCAACCACGGGGTCTGATTTTGAGGTTTTGAAATTCACCATCGCATCCTTAACAGGTGGATCGATGTGAGATGAACCGGGAGAGTATTCTAGCAACTCAGGCAAACGTTCAGCCTGAGCTACTTTTGGAGATGGTAGAGACTCCACGACAGACACTAAAAGAGCTGTTGATAGTGGTAGCCACGATGAAAAAACCGTTGTAAGTAGTAACCTGGGATCTCGTGACCTGGCAATATGCGGCGCTATTGTGATGTTTAACGATTTTGTTATCTTCTCGAGCAGAGCCGGGTCGCTATATCGTAGTTAGCGTATTGCTTCTCAATCCGAGCCTTATAAGTCAAATGTTTACTAAACATTATATAGTATAGCTTTAGGCAATGCAGTGTCTTGATGATTGAAATAAGAGACGAAATGAACAACATAGATGAAAAGCAGAAAGAAACTCGACTTACCCCTTTCCATGATCTCCACCGGTAGTTGCTTGATATACAGCCCAAACTTGCTCAAGCACAAGCTGGACGAACATAGGCTTTAAATTACGGCCCTTCAAATGTTTTCGCCCAAGAACCTTCTTAGTCTTCGGATCTAAGTAGAAATCACCCCATAGCACTTTTTCCATAATACTTCGTTTAATACCGAGCTTCTTCTCGTATAAGCTAGCGAATTGTCGCACGGTAAAGGCCCAGCCATCAATGGCGCTGCTAAATATGACGTTATTCTTCTCAGGGGCGAAATATAGTTCTTCGTCGTCTCGTTCCTCAAATTGTAGATCTCCCGTTTCGCTCTCGATATCTCCGAGTTTTGATTCTCTTGCAGCAGCCGCAGCGACTTTCTCGTCTATTCGTTCTCGCCAGTTCAGATCCTCCTCCATACGTTCTCCCTGGAAAAAACTTCCTAAAACGGCATTCACCTGTTCTAGAAGCTTGCTTAGATGGATATAAGCTTCACCTGGAGTCATTTTCCACTCGGTAATCAGTCGATCTATTTTGTTGAAAACCAGAAGAGGTTTTAATTTCTCCATCCACGCCTGACGGAGAACAGTGACAGTTTGACTACAAACACCCTCGACGGCATCGACTAGCACAACAGCTCCGTCACATAATCTTGATGCGGTTGATACTTCGCTGCTGAAATCAATGTGTCCGGGTGAGTCTATTAGGTTGATTAAGTATTCCTTAGGTACAGGTGCAGCATCTGGAGCAGGTCTTCGGAGCATAGAGAAGTATAAGGAGATGGCAGAAGATTCCATAGTGATACCCCTAATTTGCTCATCGGGTCGTGAGTCAAGATACCGGATCTTGCCGGCAAGCTTTGGCGAAATAATGCCATTTGTAGCAAGGAGAGCGTCCGTTAAGGACGTCTTGCCATGATCAACATGAGCAAGGATACAGATCTGAAATATGTTAGTCAAATGAGAACTAATGGACTCGGAACAAAAGGATGAGTACATTTCTTATATCATCTGCGTGCCGCTGCAGAGCAGCTAATTTCTCCGGGGTGACAACAGGCATTTTGATGGCGCTATGTTTTCAAAATGGAAAGATAATGAAGTTGATGAAGTCGTTACTGGAGACCATCAAAATAAGTTCAAATAGTTGGTTTTAAATAAATAAATAACCCCGACAGGGAAGTTGACGAAAGGACAAAAGTATCTAATTTATATCGTTTAGCCAGTGACTGACTTGGTTTAGGTATCTTTGGTGATAGCAACTTTTATGAAAGTATCCACAAGTCTGACTGGCTGAATTCTACTAATTCTAAGATTATAGTGGCTTTTGTTGTGGGGTTTCTGTAACGTAGTCACTATGAATCATAATTGTACTTAATAATTTAAGACCGAAGCTTCATATCTTGTCCGGTATGCCGAATTATCAGATATACTATGACGTTTCTTACCTTCCCTTTGCATTTCTAATTGCCGTGGTAGGTAACCTCCTAAGATTTCCTTTGCTGATAGCGGGGCAAAGAATATCGATAAGCGTAGAGATTCAATTGCCCCGCGGCTCCGCTAAAAAAGTGAGTGTTCTGACGTTCTGACGCTCTGACGCACTAACGCGAAACTTCAAAAGGAGGGGCAAAGCTCAAGCGCAAGGGCCACATTGAGAAGCCCTAATCCGCCAAAACTTCGGTTCTTTTTTTCTAACTAGTTAATCCTTCTCCAGATCTTTTCAATACAACAAGGGCCAAAAAATTGCGACGAGCCCCTCCACGGCTACGATCCCCACGATACTATTCGCGACATCGTCCTTGTGCCACATCACATTTCCACGATGAGCGGATTAAGAAACGGTGCTGCGCCTGTCCGCACTATCGAGGATGATAGTGATGTTGAGGAGGAAGCCCTCGTGGCTGACTACCAAGAGCAGGTCCAATATGAAGATGGTATGGAAGAATTAGAGCAAGTCAATTCTTTGACTATGGCTCAGCAAACCGATGATATCCAGTCTAGACTTGTCGCTGCCGCTCAACCTTTAGACTTCTCTGCACCCCTCGAAGTCAAATTCCAAAGCTATGATTCTTACTGCAACCTATTCCACTTCATCCTTAACTCGGATGGCCCCGTTGATTTGGAGCCTCCCTCGGTTAGTTCATGACATATAAATAATCAAGGCGGCTTATCGGTGTACTGACAATACTTTATAGCACTACTGGGCCTGGGATGTTATCGACGAGTTTATCTACCAATTCAACAGCTTCTCCTCTTACCGACTAAGAATTGCAAGACAAGCGAGGGATAATGAGGAAGAGAGACAGATTCTACGCGAGAACCCCAACACATGGGGCTGCTATAGTGTGCTCAACGTACTGTACTCTTTGATTCAGCGATCACAAATTACTGAGCAGTTGGCCGCCATGAAGCGTAACGAGGACCCCGCCGCCGTCGCTGGAGAGTACGGCTCCAAGACCCTATACCGAATGCTCGGATATTTCTCCATCATCGGACTACTACGCGTCCACTGTCTCCTGGGAGATTTCAGCCTAGCACTGAAGACCCTCGATGACATCGAGCTTAACAAGAAGGCTATGTTTGCACGCGTCATGGCCGCTCATTTCACGACCTACTACTACGTAGGCTTCTCCTACATGATGATGCACCGATATGCCGATGCCATCCGCATGTTTAGCCATATTCTTGTCTATGTATCGCGTACCAAGAACTTCCAGAAGAACGCCCAGTACGATTCGATCACCAAGAAGAATGATCAGATGTACGCTCTCATTGCCATCTGCGTGGCCTTCCAGCCGACCCGTCTCGATGACACCATCCACACCGCTCTGAGGGAGAAATACGGAGACCAGCTGCTCAAGCTACAGCGAGGTGGCCCCGAGTCTCTACCAATTTTCGAGGAGCTATTCAAGGCTGCCTGCCCCAAGTTCATCTCGCCGGTTCCCCCTGACTTCGATAACCCTGAGGCCAATGTGGACCCGATCGACCATCACCTTTCTATCTTCATGGATGAGGTCAAGACCAATATGTGGAACCCTACCGTGAAATCTTACTTACGCCTTTACACTACTATGGATCTTAAGAAGCTCGCTGGTTTCTTGGAGGTGCAGCCGGAAGAGTTACGCTCTTGGCTGCTAGTCAACAAGCAGCGCACTAAGCAGCTGCGGTGGGCCGACCATGCCCTATTAGAAGGAGAATGGGTCAACGTGAGCGACCTGGACTACGCTCTGCAAGGAGTAAGTTTTTTTCCGCCTTAAGGTTCCAACCTTATATAGAGTCATTCAACTTTTATCATACTAGAGCGCTAACAGAAAGTTATAGGATCTAATTCACATCTCGGAAGCCAAGGTTGGGCGCAAGTTGGTGGACTGGTACCTCCGCAACCTGTCACGGATGTACAACTAAGATCATCAAAGAAATATGTTCTCAAGGCCAAAGGATTAGAAAGGAGATCGTAGGGGGGGCGGGTCCTCTCACGGGTTCCGTCTTCAGTTTGCATTGCACAGGCGTAATGGGATATTTGTATGTCACTCTCTCTGACCACGGGAGACAGGCGAGCTGACAAGCAAAAGAGTGACTAGCAAAAAGAAAGATATCGGCTGGTTGTATGTAGAAAACGAATGGGGGCTACTCGTCCAGTTTGGTTTTTATTTATTTTCAAGTCTCATGAACAGATATGGTAATCAAATGACTGACCAACTTCTTTGACTCGTATACGCGTATATACTTTTTGTCCATCACAGTGTAGTAGTTTGGGCAGTTGGAAATTTTCTCTTCATAATATAATGTGGAGGTTTGTGTAGATCAGGAGATGGAAGAGCTCTGTCTTCAATGCCAACGCCAAGACCCGAGTGCGGCGTACATGTGCATACATGTATGGGAAGAGCACGTCGTAGTGTAATATATTTCAGCATACGCGGGTAGCGGTGCGGCGCTTTTAGGGTGGTATAGAAGTTGAAGGTGGTGGTGGTGGTGGTGGTGCCGGTGATAGCTCGACGTTGCAGCACAGGGCGCAAAGCAGAGCACAAGGTAGGTATAGGTAGGTAGGTAGGTTGTGCAGGGAGAGTGAATGATCCGCAGCCTTTCGGACTAGGGGGTCTCAGCCGCCTTGGCTGTCTATCTATCGTGTGTATATACACTAGTTAATGGAGACAGGACCGGTCTACTTTTTTGTGTGTATACACATATATTCACTTATTCACTTATATAGGTAGAATAGGGTCTTGGTATTGCCCAACTTACCCTGGTACATGGTGGCGGTGGGTTAGTAGTAATAGTAGTAAGTGGGTTATGTAGGAGGCCTCCCAACTAGTGTAGTGTAGGGTGCGCTGCGATTCGGCGGGCGGCGTTGCTGCTGGCAACGGGGCCGGGCTCGAGTGCCAAGCGGCTAAGGAGGGGAGGAGGTAGGTCTGTCAGTCTTGGCCGCCGATATATATATGTGTATGTGTGTATGTAGGTTTTGTATGTATGCAGGACTTTGTGCCGTGTCGTCTCGCTAGCTCGGTGTGACAACGCGAGTAGCGCGCAGGGCTGAGGAAGAGCCAAGAGCCTTGAGGTGGGTTGGTGGCGTTGCAGAATGGGCTGGGTTAGATAGATGAGTTGCGGCGTTTTTGTGCATTTGGACGTACATATAGCTTGGGTAGTTGACTATTATACCTAGGTTAGATATGTATTTGTGTGTAGGGTGTAGGGTGTAGGGAGTGGGTGAGCGTGAGCGTGAGCTGTGTAGTAGGGCTCCGTATACCTAATGCCTAATGTACATACATTGCTACTATCCGAAAAGGGGGAAATGGGAGGGGGCATAGCATAGGTAGCATCTCCATCACGAACCGAACGCTCCTGTGTGTGAGGACCACCACATATGCCCTAACCTAGGTCTTAGGCTGACCCGGTTTACATGAAGGAATGGTAGCGGATGACCAGGTAGGATACATACATAGGATAACACAGTATAACTACCACCCGTTTGCTACAATTAACACACCATGTTCATAGAGCTGTCTAGATGCATAAGGAACGAACTAGTATACGCCGTATTATCATCGTTGCAGTGCCCTGGGTAGTGTAATTCACGGGGTAGCTGAGCTAGGGGCAGATGGTCACCTAGATATCAACCCTCATGTTTCGCACAGCCACCTTCCCGCGGAATCAGCGTGCCGAGTGTGACGATGAGGCGGGTAATCGGCAATCCCCTGGTACTAGTCTTGACTTACACTAACTAGAGAGACCTTGGATTTGGTATCGTCGTCTACGAGACAATTTCTACCTAGGGGCGGGGAGGAGGTTTATTTGTGTGCTCCGTTAGACTACTATCTTAAGATAAAATATGTAGAATAACCTCATATGTTACATAATAACTAACTATATATATGCGGTTCAACGTGACAAGACGATAACATGGGTCATGGGTGCGCCAGTCGATATAACGCCGCCGATCTCTCACGTATCTGGCATCTGGGGTGCCTGGTGCTTCTCAAGAATACGATTTTGTGGGTGACACTACGTGGGTAGGTATCTTGACGATGCTTCACGGGACTTTTGGTCGGAGATATAGTGTCAACGTACGGCCCCTAGTCTGATAGGGCTTCCGCCTAGCAAGTTATAGACGACCTAATTCCTATTACCACTTACACTGTCTACCGTACCTGATTCCCAAGCACCCAAGGTCGTAGTCAATCAACCACATACCCGGAATATAGACAGACGCTTACGCAGTCTCTCGCTCCTTACGTCTGTTTAAGGTAATTGGGCACATGGGGTGTGCGTACCTGGGGATAGCTGGGGTCGGTTCATCCATCCATTTTTTTTCTCCAGATATGCACATATGTGCTGTGCTGTGCCGTGCTGTGATGTAAATCCGGGTTGATCCAGGACCAGCCCATTGCATCCCCGGCCCCTCGGAAAGATGCAGGAGGTATTGGTTCGAGGCAATGCAATTGCTCGTCAGCAAGCAATCTACAAGCCACAGACCTTTTCCGGTAATGCTTTCTCGTGACACAGCTTTCTATACGATCAGGAACCCTCGGGCGCCGGCTACTCGCCAGTTGACCGCGCATGTATGTAAATGTGGACTCCCGGACGCCAGCGTGGAGACGATGGGAATTTTGCGTGGTGGACTGGGGCGGGCTAGGTATTCTTCCTGCGTGGAGCTAACCCGCCCTTGATGGGGACGCCGTCTAGGCGATGGGTACGGCTAGCTGAGCATATAGTAGTAGTAGCAGTTTGCGACTCTGATCCCGACAATTCGTACCGCTTGCAGATCGGGGGTTATACTTCGACGATACCTGCAATAGTCATTTTATAGCGGCGACAAGTGGTACCCCCATAACAAAGTCTCGACAGCTTGGTTATGGAGTTCGGGTTGGTAAATGGCCCGCTACGGACAAATTAGTGGATGATGACGACGAAGCGAGAGACAGCTCACCACACGTAAGAAATATGGCGTAGTGTTACCTGACAGAAATTGTAGTACAGGCTTCGGATGCTTTTACACAAAGGTGTAGTAGCTCCGGATTGAGTTTATATAAGAAATAGGGGAGAATAATGGAAGATGAAGAGGGAGGCATAGGGAAGAGTATGTAAGAGGCAGACTGATTTCTACTCTTATATTTCATGAAATATAATAACTAGATTCTTGTAGATACCTATTCTTGCAGCAGCTTGGCACTGCAAGTGTCTGTACGCCTCCCTCTTTGCACTAAGCTCAATGAACCTTTTAGCAAGTCAAGTTTATAAACTTCCTAAACAGACACAATATGCGAGTTGTCTTGGCCTAATATAAGCAATGGAAATAACAGTAAACCTCTCGTACAAATATATCATATCTCATTGGACTATCTTCTCTCCTCGTACATAGAGGCCAAGTAGTTATCGAATATTAAGGGTTTTGGTATATATGAGACTAGATGTTATTGAAGTTATACCTTATCTAATCGTTCCATCGGACGAATAGGTATAATGCCTAGATGTTCACGGGGTCTGTTACGCTGTACCAATGGGATGTCGACGGGAGTTGCAAGGGTATCAATTTAATATAGGCACTATCCTTGTTGCTCTCATGATTAAATAGCCATGCCATGTTGACGTTCCCCATTCTCTAGTCCTACCTATACTGGTATGCGACTCCGTTTTGATCGCGTGTCATAGTTCACCGTGGTAGGAATCAAGGCTTGCCAAGTAGAAGAGCCAAGAAGCCAAGTCTGTGACAGGACCAAAATGTGTTTTCGTGGCGTTTGGAACATACATACATATGATAATTGATGAGTAGAGCCTCAATATCTCCTACATATTCTACCAAGCCTATACGGCCAACTGTCTATGGTAGGGAAAGTAACAATGATGGTGATTAGGCTGATAAGCTTCGTCGATCTATGACAGCTCAGAAACAGATCAGATTACGACTGCAGAGTCGGAGAAAGTTAATGAGGGGTCGTATTATTGACTCGGGGAATTCAAGGCGATCCTTCTGCTTTCTAGGGTGTACTTTGAATAAGAAATAAATACAATATAGTCACGAAAACTCGAGCTTATCGGATCTCGATAATGAATGCGTATATAGCTACCGACGGAGCATGATCCGTTTACAGTCATTGCCTACTAGATTATATTGCCAAGCATGCTTGACAAATCATAACGAACGGCATTACTTGGAGATAGAAAATAAGGGGACGGTAGAAAGCTTAGCATAGACATACAATGGGTATAACGCTAGGATGATAGACCGAATCGCACCGAATGCACTTATCATCAGCACCGGTGCCGGTCGGTGATGGTAGCTAGGTTGACTAAAGCGGTCAAGCATGGTTCGTCGAGGTGCGAGTCGGTCAGCACAATGTGTATGTCTTTGTCCTAGGGTATGGAAGCATATTTGCGATCGCGGGATTCGCCAATCTCTTGGTTTCCGGGTGTCGGTTAATCGTGACAGGATATTTAATTCGGTTATCGCGTTGTAGAGAGGTGTGCGGTGAAGACCTGTTAGTTGGGATTTAGGAAAATATCGGGTTCAACTTGAACAAATAACCAGGCAAAGCTGTAGCCCGTGTGGGAGCCGGGGGTAGTGAATCTGTGATATATTCGGTGAGGCTGCAGGAAGCCAAGATTTCTTGCATCCCATTTGTGGCTGACATAGCATGGGAGACATGGATCTTTTTTTGGTTAACAGTCTTATCGAATTCCAAGGTCAGGGCTGGGATTTCATCATTTCACCTCGTGCTGTTCTGGGGTTGTCTGTTTCGTGGAATCCCTGACATGTGAGAATCTTAAGAAACGATGAATAATACATAATACCTATACATACCATCACACATAATACGGGTTAGTAGCCTCATCAAGTAGACATCCCATTCTCTTTCCTTGAATGGATGGAAGCTTCGCGAATGGCAGACAGGCCACAATGCGTACACCCGAATATTGTCTCTGATGACTCAATACGGCGAACACGTATGAACGTATAAACGATAGATATCTTATTCCCAGTGGAAGAGAAAACCATGTGACCTTTCGACTCCATATGCAATAGGAGAGAACTACTTGACGACGAAGGAGGCCTCTCCCCTCCTGATCCCTCCTCGACGGGTAGCAGTGCCGATGCGACGAGATCTACCCTATCCGACAGGAGCAAACCGGGGAAATGTAGCCTAAGTAGGGAACTCTATCTAGTAGTGTTCGATCGTGATGGATGGTTGGTGTGAAACGGCTCGACCCGGTGGCTCCTCATCTCACCCGCTACTTTGGGGCCCGCGCCTGGTAGCGTTAGACGTAATGCCAGGTACTGTTACGTTGTGGTGGAGGGTTAGAGGCGGAGATGTGCATGATTCTATCCGTAATCCATTTCAGTGGAGCGTTTCCTTATTCTTTTTCTCTTCAAAAATTTTTTTTTCTTTTTTCTTTAACAGTCAGAAAAATACGGAGATGTGTCGTGGGGCGCCCCCAGTCAGAGCAACTGTCGTGCTATGCGCCCATATTTCCTTGTTAACTCTCCCGCAGGAGTTGCACAGATGTGTCATCAGGGTAGGAAGTGTTGGAAAGGAAAGCTATCCTTGCCCGTCAACGTCTTGGCTACGCGAGCTATGCGCCAAGTTCGCCAAGAGCACGAGATTGTACTACTCCCGTGTGTCTTGTGTGTTCGTTTTGCTAATCCCCATGGTCTTGGTACCCTTTTCTATTTCTTGGAGTAGGTATCTACCATGTATGTTTCTCGGCTCGGACGAAGACTTTGCGGATCTTGACTATCACGATACATAATTATTTAAGTAGGCAGGTAAGTTAAAAAGCGGAGGCAGGCCTCGCGCGCAGACAACCATGTGTAAGCCACATCGGTAGTTACTGTAGTCCTAGAGCCTTGATTCTGAATTGCGTGCCTGATAGGAAGAAATTTACAATACGGACGTACGTAGAGCCTAGTTCCTAGAGCTACCTTCTGGATACGTCCAGTATTGAAGATGGAAGGATTGGAGAGGAGGATAAGGCGAGGAGGGGTGAATGTCCCTTCTTGGCCCTAACCCGCCTGTCTGGGAGTGCAGTTGGCTTCTAGCCGCAGACGCTGTGGACGAAGCCTTGGTATTATCAATTTTATATGAATACATGGTGGTACAGTAACAATACTTAATCGATTGCTATTGCTATTGCTATTGTTATAATTGTTGTTGTCATTGTATTGTTATTACTGTGTTGCTGTCATTGCTGACATCGGTACTTCGTTGTCCTCACATATACCGAAAGGGTAACCAGAGACATGATGACGAGTACAAGGTAGTGATGACTGGATGCTTAAGGCAGTTGTCGTATGCCGCTGCAAGAAGTTGACGGGAGTTTTACACAAGGTAGATTTGAGATACCCATTTAGGATATAGGATACGGGATATCGGCTTCAAAACAAAAGCTTTGCTGGCTGATCTGACGATTACGCTTGCCTGACGTCGCATTGGAGTGTCTGCCGCAAGTTGTTGACATGTTGCGATTGGACGAATGGAATAAAAAGGGAAAAAAGCGAAAGGTAAGACGAAAACAACCTCGAAGCGTGAGAGGAAGATCAATTGATGCTTCTTTAGAATTTAGATTAGGCGGAGGCAAGATGACTTACATTCAATGTATGCGGCCAATGTACATGTTTTGAGCATAGTGCATACATACATAGTACATGTACCTGTACGCCTATAGATGCATAAACCGGGGTGCTAACGGTAACGGGCTAGTTTAGGTACCTAATATACCTACCTAGGTAATTAATGTACCTAACATTAGGTACTAGAACAGGTACCTAAGGTAGCTGCTATTAGGTACGTTGGGTACCGAGATAGTTAGTCTAATACGAGTAATTACCCAAACCACAAGCATTAAGACGCGTATGGTATAAGTATCTATTTAGTCCTTCTAGTTCCCTGTGGTAGCGTGTAAAAATAGGAAAATCTGGAAACGCGCCGTCATCTGCCGCAAGGTTTAAGCTCTTGGCTCCAGCTCTACTCTTTCCCATTTTTGTGCGTACCAAGGTTTAAGAAAAAAAGAACATCGCCCGGGGCAGCTACAGGCCCTATACAGCCCCTACAAGCCCACTATCCACTACCTACTACCTACTACTACTTCTCTACTTGGTATTTCCTGTGCCTTCTCTATTGTAAACTACCCTTTACCTCATATGTACATCTAGCCCGCTCCTCCCATGGCCGCCTTATCCAGATTCCTTCACCTCTTTTAAAAAAGAAGCCTGACTCAACTGCTGTTTTTTTTTAAACCAGCAATTCATCACAATTCATAGTTGTTGTTGTCACTCATAATACTTTTACAAGTTTACTGTACGTACCTACTCTCTCGTTTAAATATCAAGTGCATTTTGTACCCACTTGTTTCCAAAAGATACATCATTAAAAGCAACCCGTCTGCCTACAACTACGCGCCAATCCGCCCTCCGAAACTTAACACGGCCAAGCTTTCTTCCCTCAACTAAGCTTTTCTTACTCGAGACAAAACGGGCTGAAGAATCTCGAAGCTCCCACGATTGCAACGGAAGCCAAGTCATCCTTAGCAAGTCACCAAGTCACCTTAGCCAAAACGTACGACATCATCCATACGTACCTAACCTATCCCTCACTTTTGACCACTCTCGCTTTACACTAAGCTACCTTAACCCGAAGCGTTTGTTTTTAAAAACGTTCATTTTCCTTAATAGTTGTCCTCTGGTAATACTCCAACGGGAACGATCGTGACGCCCCCCAGCTAATTTACTTTCTTGCGATCCATAGACAGGACACCTCCATAACCGGTTGCTGTAAGGCCTGGATGGCTGTCACTTAACTAAACATACCACCCACCAATCATCCGTCTCGTGTTCCACCATCAATATCTTCCGGTATCTCGCATCCTTGTTATACCACGTGGCTCGTCGATTCGACCTTTCGAGACTCAGGCCTGCTTTGTCTTCCACGCGGCTATCAGACCATCTCGAAGACGGATAGCCCCGAGGCTATCCCTTTGAGTTTCATCTTGGACTATCCGCGCTCAATGCCGTCAGTACGAAACTGCCTCCTCCGCCCTCTTACTGAGGCAACGTGAGTAAGGTATCGATAGTATCTGTATAGGCGCTACCTTAATCACTTTAGTTCATTTCGGGGAAAGAAGAGAAGATGTCCGGAGGTTTACCTACCCCGGCTAGAAGCACCGGGAGCGACGTCTCTCCCAAATCACAACCAAGTACTAAGAAGACGGATTACTTCTCTCTCGATAAGAGAACAAGTCCACTCTCCCGTTCTAGCTCAACGCAGGATAGCGCAAGGAGCACTCCACGCGCGGGCTTAGTGCAACGGGCCGCTACCGAACCCAAGGGCAAGGGCAAGGGCAAGGAGATAGCTGAAAGCACGGGAGATGCGAGCGCAACTACTCCAGGCGAGACGGCCTCTAGTACGGGGAGTAGTGGTCCTCCATCTAGGAAGGCATCTATCTCGTCTATATCCTTTGCACCCCCTCGACACCCATCGCTTCCTCAAGGTCTGAAGAAACCGCATGCTGGAAATCGAATCCGGGCAGCATCTCCGCCGCACCGTAGGTAAGTCGAGATAATTTTATTTTTTTAATGTATTTTCCCATCCACTCTTCACACAAGTATGCACATGCATATTTTGCTCTATTTACGCCGAGACTCTTCGAATGCAAGGGTAGCCACGAAGCTGCTACATCATAGCCCCTAAGGCTATTCGGGCGAGGGTGCCGACGCGATCGCACTTCTTGGCGGAAACTCTTTTGCGACCGAAGAGCAAATTTCGTCGTACTATTACATCATAGGCCCGCTTGAGAACTCCGAAGCCGCAGGATACTCGACCCTTCAAGGAATAATAACAGCGTTTGTTGACTAGGAGAGGTCTAATGTATTCCGCGTGGCTTGTCGTTATTTGTATAGGCTCTCGAGACATGATAATGCCTACAACTTGGGTGGTTGCCGAGAACTGATAAAAGGACTGGTCTTCCATTATGGTCGCATGTCGTTCCAGTGAGGATCGTCAAGCTAGTCCGGTTTCTTACTCGCGCGACCTACTCTAAAGCAGCCCCTATTCGTCGACTCGTCCGATACTACCCCGCTCACTATAATCCCCCACATGTCATCCCAAGGCCAAACCCCGTACTTTAGCAAGTACCTCGATCTTTTAGATGACGAAGGCGCAGCAAAGCTATGCGTTTTAGTGGCCGCTGGACTGAAAATCACAAGTCTTCCTTCCCCTTTCAGATGTTGGTCGAATTTCGCGCAAAAAGGTCCCTTTGACGGACCCATTTCGCTGTATCACCAACCTCTCTCCTGTTTCTTACCCACTACTTCTTTTCTCTACCACTCGTCTAACTAATGGCAACCGAGACGCTAACCGAGTCACCTCGCTCACAAAGGTTCGAATCCCATGTAGCCTTCGACAACATCCCCCTTGGCGAATCAACAGAGTATAATCCCATCTCGTTCACCCTCAACTACCGCCATGCGGGTTTTCAGTTTAGACGACGACACCGCACCTTTATGGTCGGCGTAGACGACAACTCGTATTCCGATCATGCTTTGCAATGGCTACTAGACGAATTAGTCGATGATGGTGACGAGATTATATGCGTCCGCGTAATCGAAACCCAGGTCCGCCTTACGGATAAGGCGTACCAAGAAGATGCCAAGGTTCTGATGGAATCAATACAGTCGAAGAATACGCAGAACCGAGCAATTGGCCTAATTTTAGAATACGCCGTTGGAAAACTGCACAACACGTTCCAGCATCTTGTTAGTACCCCTACTGGTCAGCCCGTAGCTCATCGCACGCTACCGTCCAGTTTCGAATTAGAATGTCAGTGCTAACCTGAGCCGTACTAGATCAAAATGTATCAGCCATCCATGTTGATCGTTGGTACGAAGGGTAGAAGCCTTGATGGAGTCCAGGGGTTCCTCGTGAATCGTAGTTCTTTTTCGAAGTACTGCTTGCAATACTCACCAGTGCCTGTTGTTGTCGTGCGCCCTAATGAGAAGCGCGTGAAAAAAAAGGTGAAGCGAGCGCATGACCCATCTAGGCAAAGTTATGCGCAAATGCTGCTAGGTCAACCACATGAAGCCGATAGCGAGAACAGTAGCGTATACGAGCTAGAACCTAATCTCACCCCAGACGAAGAAGCACATCGTGTTGCAGTAGCTGTTGGGCTGCCAGCAGCGTACGATCCAACTATCAAACCCATCGATCCCAACAGCTTACTAAAGAATTTCGGCCGTCGACCCGCGCCGGAGGTATCGAAGGAAGCCCTTGCAATAGTAAACAAGGGCGGTTTACCTGCCGAGAAGAAGTCGCCAGACCAAGAAGATTCGGACTCGGATTCCGAAGGAGAGTTCGATGTCAGACCGGGCGAGGAGCTTCTTAGAGAGAGACTCCATAAGATGGAGCTAAACGAGGGGGCCGCGCTCAGAGCTGAAGGTAGGAAGTTGAGTTCCGGGTCTGCCGATAGCGACGAAGATCCGCCGGGTGGAGGGGGTGCCAAGACGTGACGCGACCGTTGCACATGAGAAACCGATATGAGGGACTTGCATACGGACTTTATACGTATACCTGGCCTCTTTTTTATCGGGATAAGTCAGAAGCCCATTGATTATTAAAAGCATGGGAATGGTTGGATGGACGATATAGCGGATATTTGCCCCACTATCGTCATAATTATTATGCTGAGCAACTTATTTTGCACAAGAACCAATAAACACGGCGTCAAGTCAGTGGTAAGATTGGAGGAATACCCAGGCTGGAATTTTTCGAAAGCATTTGAGATGGGTTGCAGCGCAAGCTTGTATCATGAGCAGTCCGAGCGACTATTATAAATAAAATACGACTCTTCTGCCCAAGTTTTACGAGGCCCTCGAACTGGACGTTATTGTACTTGTGATGGTGACTTCAGCTGATTGATATGATATATGATGTGCGTGGTGTGCGGTGGAGGGCGAAATAGGGAGACACAAAGACTTCGGCGCTATACCCTGTTATCCTATTGAAGGATTTACTAATGGAAATACCAGTCAAGAGATGTATTCCTATCTATCACAGTACGAACAACTACCGATTCACTAGGTGCTACTGTGGCCTAGTAGGTGAGCTACATGCAATAGAGGGCAACTTCTTCTAGGTCATTCGAGAGCAGGTTTCTCTTAAGTTGCAACGGCCCGTAGTATCTCGCAAAGCCTCCGAGTAGCACGGCTAATAGTACTTTAAACAGAGAGACGGGAGATATTCCCCTAACGACGAAAGTTATACACGATATGATAGTGTGGAATGTGTAGAGTATGTACATTGTCTAGATCATATACTAAATAGGGATTGAAGTAAAAGGGGGAATGAGAGAGCCAGCAATAAAAAGCAACACGAAGGCGGTTCTCTGGTATTTACTACCAGTGCAATGAAATTTATATTATTGTCTCTCTCTCTTGGTCCATTACCTCGTTTTATCCTCTCCCTTACCCTTCTCTCTCAATCTCCTTTTTGGGAAATACCATACAATGTAGATATTAGTTCTTTTCGCTTATATTCTATAGTCTTCATATTCTATGAAAGATAGAACTGGCCAACCGCATATTGAGTCCGGGGAAGACATATCTGTCTTGGATCAGGCATGACTAGGTACCTACGGGCTTTGTTTCGAGGGTTGTTAAGTAGAGAACTGAGTTGGGAGGTTGCTGATAGCACTTATGATGGCCTATGGCCATGATAACGAGGCTTGGGGAATGTAGATGAGGAGAGAAGGTAGTATACGTCTGAGTGTTTGGAGGCAAGTGTAAGGAATCGGAAGGAGACCTCGAGAAATATGATAGATGAGGATGATAACTGAATTATCCGAGGCTACTCTATGCTAGTACAGATATGTTCCTACTGTTGTCATATCTAACGATATAAATTCATCAATAAATAAATGTCATCTCAATACAACTACAGTGATACTCAAGGCTGTCAATTTTCCGTTACCTTGTTGGCAAGAGTTTAATAAACTAGGTAACCTGATAGACGTCAGGCTCTGACGCTACGAATGTTGATTCGCCATCCGCAGTTTAGGTAGTATCGCTCGTCAAGCAGGCTACAGCAGGCTGTCTATGCCTAAGCAATGCAAAGTCGCATTGAGCTACGAGGCAATCGTGATACTATCTGAACACAAGTATACGCCCTTAGAACCAGTCTGGTTTGAAAAATGACCAGTTCTTAATATTGATAATTATTATTTCAATACACAATATATTTATAATTCTCTCCCTGCCTTGACTACTTGATGAAGTACGTACTTGAGAACCCTTGTGGACTGCTCATAGCATAATATTTTTATAGTGTAAGCGTAAGGCTTCGTCGTATTGCCAATTTGCAGGGTGACTTCATCTTAGTGCAGCAGACTAACAATAAACATGACAAGCATCCATGACTTGAGAGGAATGGTGGCGGGAGTGAGTTTCGCCGTTTTGTATATAAATATTCTACCACAATCCATGCTCCTAATTTCGACTATATGCTCGGGATTGGATGTGTGGCTTTTAATTCGCAATATAAGACACTTAATCTCACCCGGACAGCGTAATGACCGAGAACACTGCCGGGTATATGAGATGCCGGATGTATTACATGAGAACTATTACCCGGCAATGGATAAGATATAATATAAGCACGATATCACGTGTAGTTATTACATAGGTATGTATAGTAAGACTTATGACGGATATGAGAACGAGTTCGCACACCCAATAGTATCGTTAGCCGGACGCTCGTAAAACACAAGCCGCATTATCAAAGGTGTATATACAAAGAAAACGCATATCCATCTATATACTATATGCAACGTAAATATCTAAGTAGCTTTGCTCTGTCGTACGATACGTAAGATATCCTATCTACTATTCAGAATAGGCTATCACTCACCACTCACAGGTGAACTCTCTCGCACAACTCCAGCCAGCCAGCCACATACAACCCACCTGTCGACCGCAAAGCCGAACCTCGTGCAATCACGGACAGCCCGACCGACTTAACACAATACAGACATACATATATCCATATACAGCTAATATATCTACTCCACACATCGCACAAAACTATAAAAAAAAAAGCAATAAACAATTAAAATGTCAGCAGCGTCTATCTAACAGCGAACCCAGTGTCACAAATTGCAGGTACTGCTAGCGAAAAAAGGCTGCTCGAAGCTTCGCTCTCGGCACACGTAAATGGTCAGGACATCTTGGGAGTATGAGAAAAGGTCTGATGATAAGGATTGATGCCTTGGTTATAATAAAAAGAGGAAAAGAAGAAAAACGGGCTAAATCTCAAAGTGAAAATATATGAGAAAACTTAATGTGGGTCACACGCTAAGTAGGCAGGGCTGGAGAGAGCCACATGTGGCTTTATAATACGATGTACGGAGTTACTTAGGTACCTGTACCAATGGATGTAGGTACGGATTACGGAAGTCGCCTTCAAAAGTTTTGTCCATACCAAACAGCTGTCAGCCTTGGCCACAGCTGTCGAACAGCTGCTAAGTAGCTTGATCCACTTGGCACTCAAAAATCATGAAGTATATTGGAATCTACCATTTCTTATATAAATGACTACACAACCAAATATATTTTATAAAATATAGCCTTTAAATATATCGTAAATATAAAAGCTCAAATCTATTTCGGTATAAATCTTAATATTATATCTTACATATTTGAGGTTAAATAAATAGATGAAAATGAGGTATAAAAAGGAGTACATTTGGTATACGGCCGACAGTTGTTGCCAAGACTTGCCAAGCTGACAAGGGCCGACCTATGGACAAAACTTTTGAAGGCGACTTCCGTACATTGGGTACATATCAGCTGAGCGGGCAGTAAACTCAAGCAGACATGTGATGATGACTGGATGACTTATCCTCCTGGTTTATTTACTCCGGCACTTTACGCCTTATTAAACCGAGACCCGAGACCCGAGACTTTATGAAACGGTGCAAGGCGACCAGTCTTACTTCGCCATGTGTTCTCTAACTAGGTACGCATACATGTTTCAAATTTAACAGACGAAGCATAGTCTATGATTGAACCAATCACTTAGGATACTTGATCAGCAAAAAAAAAAAGTATGACATTAAATGTCAAGTATGAATTCCTATTCTTCCCACCCCCTAGTCTAATGCTGTACTTATACACGTCCAAAATTCGAACCTCCTATTAATATGAAATACCAGTAGAAGTCTCCCGAAAGGGTCTTCCCGGATTAAAAGATGAGAAAAAAGCTCAAACCTTACCGATATGCATCATGTTGTCCGTCCGTACCTCTACAGAGGTTTGCTTATCCCATGCCGAACGCCGTCGCGTATGCAAGAAAAAGGAGGTGCATCCGAGGGCTAACCACCTCCGGAGCTAAAGCAGAGTACTCCGCGCAAGGGTATCTTGATAACATCAATGGCTCTATAGGTCACCCGAAACTTCCAATGATGCCCAGTAAGCCGTAAAACGCCACGCAAAATGCCCAGTGTCCATGTCCATTTGTTCTTGTTCTTCGTTGTGACAAAATCGTGACCATCCCTATTACGCCTTGAGATCTGCGATCGCCTTTGCTACCTCCTTAGTTGCAATCTTCTCGAAGCGTTGCCGAGCATCCTCGTTAAGAGAATCCTCCGAAACCTCCTTATACAGCTTATGGCTCAGATCACGATTAATAGAGGCGTACTGATCCGCCGTAATATGCCCGGATTTCCAGTGAGGTTTGAGGGCGTCCTTAACGATCCCACTTATGCTCTCCTTCATCTCAAATGGCAATGCTCCACGTGTTGGACTAGTATCTTGCGACCGTGATAGATACCCATTAGTGGGTGTCGGTCGTTGTCGTTGAGGCCGAGGCTGCCGAATTTCGGGACAACTACCGCTTGCCCTATTGTTCTGAGGCCGATGTGTCCGCAAGCGGGATCCCGAATCTGAATCGCTATGATCCCCATTACCTCGGTTTGCCAAGAAATTCGTAGGTGGATAGATCGGTTCGATATGTGAGCTGAGGGACAGGGGCGAGCCCGGGCGATCGTTAATCGCACGTGGCGGGGGCGTAGTCGATAGAGCTCGAGGACTGCTGAAAGCTGACGGGGAAGGAGATGAAGCCGGTGATGATGGGTCCGGTATTGGTTTCGAAAATGTGAAGAGTGGACGGACATTCTCGTCGTCAGATGGCGCACTCATTTCAACTTCCTTTAACAAAGAAGAGAGGAATGAAGGGGCCTCGCCATTACTAAATTGGGCAGACGTGGGATTTGAATTCGGCCCATCTAATATAGGTTGGTTGGTTTGTATAGAGGGGCGACTAGACGATGAGGCTTCTCCTATGGTGGGAGCTCTTCTTGTTCGAGGTCGTTTTAGCTTACGTTCTGGTTGCTGGGGCGGTTCAATTGGAGACGCAGTCACGGAACGAGACTTTCGCTTTCTGTGACTCGATGTCGGACGATTAGGATTGGTGGCCTCCATAGCCTTCTCCAGCGCACCCCAGGCCTGCTTCTCTTCCGCCGTCTCCTGAGGAGGAGGTGGCGGTGGGGGCCGCTGCACGGGCACTACTATATTCGATATGTTATTTACGAACACATCGTGGGCTCCAAGGCGGCTGGCGATATTGAAACGCTGTTGCCATCGCTGATGCTCGCGTTGCTCTCTTTCCAATCGCTGCTGTGATCGTCGGAAGTTGCGCATAGCTTCATCGTCATCATGATTGTCCAGATCGAGGTTTAACGCGTCCCAAACCCGACCTGCAATTTGACCCCATGCGCCCTGCCACTCGTTTGAACGGGCTTGCTGCCTGGCCCGTCGCATGCTAGCCTGAGTCCGTGGCAAAAAATTAGAATTGCCGTCGGAAAGGCTAACTTCTGTGAAGTCCGCATCTTGGAGCTCGGTGGCCAGAAAATCTGCGCCAGTGTCTATGCATTCTAAGCAGAACCAGTGCCCTCGAGGCACGCTTTCGAGGCCTACACAATATGTATGATATGGTGCATCGCAGTTGTCACAGAGCAGGAGCACATCTTCGTGATCGGTTCGATCGCAGATGGGACACGGCCTCGTTGCCTCTTCTACTTCGGGATTGTCGTCAAGCCATGCTTGCGGATCGAATTCGACAACTTGCTTCTTATCTTCTACTTTATAAGAGGATAATTGGGTACCTAGCGGGAGACTTGGTTAGCTTCTCGTTCCGAAAGGATGCAGCCAGAATCGCAACGCTTCTAACTTACCTCCAACTTTATCATAGACATGCACCAAGTAGAATGCTTGGCGACAAATCGGACAGCTGTTCGCCTTTCCAGTCCATTCTCGTAAACAAGCATCATGTAAAGCATGTCCACAAACTTGAATGACGGCGATTTTATGTTCTTCATCGTTTTGGTGGGCAGCGCTAGATGTGCTTCCTAGTGGAGACCCCGGTGATAATCGTGCCAGAGCATTTGTAACTTCGGACGTTTTTATGGGGGACGAGGAGCTCGGCGGCACATCACCTTCTAAAGGTATATACAATTGCGACGGCGAGGATGACGATTGAACGTCTAGATTTTCTAGACAGACAATACATTGATCAGCCATCGGGGCAGATTTTCATGGATTGTCGATGTTGAGAATACAACATATAAGTGACTTGATGTAAGTCTGAATTTAAGATTTGCTGCAGCCTAGACCTGAGCAGTAAAACCCCTTTGAAATGGGTGATCGTTAATTCGTTATTAAAAGCACAATGTAATAGCTTGGTGGGTGGGCTCGAAACGGACTGTGTGGATTCGTAGATTGATAAGGTGGGAGTCGTCGATAATACTCGAAGGGGGTGGGTTGAGCAAAAGCGATAGAGTGGTGCAGGTAGGCAGGTAGTATAGTAACTTAGGTAGGTAATGTAGATAGTAAAGAGAATAGATGGGACCGGATAATAAAAGGCAGTATTAAGGTAAATGACGATGATGCGTACCCCAAGTAAGTTGCGTATGGTGTCTTATTGGAGGGAAACTAGAAGGATGATTGGAAAACGAGCTAAGTATTGGGTGGCCAATTCCGTTGCTTCACGATCACCCCTTCTGACTTTTAAGTTTAGAAGAATGAATCGACTCCGGAGAGCTTCCAAGGTTTTGCTATGATGTGTGTTGTGTCTAGAGAGAATAAATGGAATAAACGGCTTATTCTTGGCTGACCAGTTAAACCGAGCTTTGTTCAGAAACGAAATGTGACGGAAATTTGAACGAATTAATACTGTGTTGTAGTTTGCTGCGTTTTTGGAGCTTAGACAACTCTTAATGTGTATGTAGATAAACTGATAAACCAAGGAGAGGACAAGGGGGTGAAGTGAATTCGATGGGAAGAAGGATAGATGCTAGGTTTAGGTTAGGTAGTTTTGGTTTTGGTATGGATTTCAATTTTTTGGAATAGAGAAAAATAAGTGACAGGTGACTGATGACTATTCCACGGAGAAAAAGCCAAACAGAGGAATTGGACAAATGTAGCCTTTTTCTGTATATCGTTATGCCACTTGCCTTGCCTTGTTATGGTGTTAGGTGGGTTACTAGGAACACTGAAGTGGGCGCGGAGTGTGGATTTGAACTTCAAGGTGGTTGACACAATTGATAGAAAGGTCAAAAGAGAATAGAGGGGTGCTGAAAGCGCGTGGAATTTTGTCATTTAGCGCTGCCACCTTATTATGGTCCAAGCGTCACCCAAGAAAACCGTGCCGGATCCAATCAGGTGACGCCAACTGAACCCTGGACCCTTTTTTAATGGGGGGTATTTTGTATTTCGTACTCGGTACTTTCTTTTTAGTACTTTCTCAGTGAGAGCTGAAGTGGACATGGGGAGTCACAACTTCCTCTGTACCTAATTCAAGGCAATCCAGGCACTAGGGCTTCGTAAGAAATAGACCTTGGAAGAGAAGGGGGGGAAGGAGGACAGCTGATGACTATGTACTTAGGGACTGCCTACCTTAGGTACGTAGGTCGCAAGTTATGTACCTCTTGACTTCTAATAGTAGTAGTATGAACCCAAGGGTGGGCCAAAGACGAGTCGAATAGTGGCTGTCGTTGTCGGTGTCGGTGTCATTGCTGTCTCGTGCACGAAATTTGTACAAGGTACCTATACTTTTCGGCTCAACCCACCGGAACTTGAATGGTAAGTCGCTTGAACTGCTTGAGATTACCAGATCCGAATCTAGACGCCGGTATTTAGAAAACTATGAGATAAATCCCTAAAGCTTTCATGACGAAATGTGGAAAATTATAAATAGAGACGAAGAAAGTTTGGTGTTAAATCGTGCCAAGCGCATCTGCGACTTTCCAATTCGATATCAGTTCGCCAGGTGCCAACAGGGTCCCTCTTAGTGGTATGAATATTAGCATAGGAGATATACCTTAGATAGGTAAGTACTGTGTAGATGTGCAGATATGCAAATATGCAGATGCGTATAGGTAGATTGTGTCAAAGGTAAAGTACGTATAAGTCGTATAAGATAAAATAAGAGGCAGGGTTCAATGTTGGTAGTAAGTGCACAGTGAATAGTACGGATACGGATAAGCAGATTTCCTTTCCAAAGTTAGTAGTAAGAAGCCTTAGGTTAGGTACCTACTGGTCATGCAGCAATGTTGCAGCTAATGCGGCGTTACTCGCCTTCCCCTTGACGTTCCGAATAGTTGACCAGTCAGCACTCACGAGGATTGGCCATGGATATTCTTCATACAACATTCAACCTTCTCCCCTTGGTAAGGTGGTATGTTCCGGTGTAATTCTTACCCACTTACATCTTACGTATGACCCGATTCTCAAACCCGCCGATACCTAGTTAGAAATCTCAACGTCCTTGTTGAGAGGGAGCCAAAAACTCCAGGTTCCGGCTCTTTCGGTTATCCTAAATATGTACCACGGGATCTATAATTTGCCGAAACAGGAATAACCTCGACTTCAGGTACAGTCCTCCAGGCCAACGATAAAATATATAAACCAGTTGGAGACTATATATTAGTAGTAATCAAACGGACCGGTGCCTATACCTCAGATAAAAGTCTTGTGCGGTGGGATAAGTAAACAAGCTAGGTCCGGACTTTGATAGCCGATTACGGGATGAGGCGAGAATACGATGAGGATCGGGGCTTTTTATACCTATCTTGGGAATTCGGTAATTCGCACTCGAGCCGAGCAGCTTATCCAACTGCATATAGTTCGGAGACGATTGCCTCTCAACGTGACACTTGTCTTATGAGCGTTGCCTTGCGACTTTGCGTCAACATGAATCCTATTTGAGGAATAAGTCTACTAGGCAGCTAAATGGCTCATGCAAGTAAACAGGATTGACGACATACCTGCGCCAGGGGCGGTTGGGCTCAAATTCGAGCGTATAGCAGTTAGGCAAGGATAAAAGTCCTCAAGCCGCACTATTGCTCTCCAATATGCACCTGCCGCCCTGGCGTCAAATATCCTCACATTTAATACGTGCTGGGTCTTCCAAGGTCAGTCGATATCTCGAACGAGAGTAGATGCCTAGGATAATCAATTAAAGCGACCCTCGCCAACAACTCTCGATCGAATCGATGACTCGAAAAGCGTAGATCCGACGATAAAGTCAAGATGACGGGTCCTTAGGCAATATTGAGAAGCAGGTTTCACATAAGAGCATTATTAGATAAGACCGGGCCGTATAATGCGACTCCGACAATCAGGATATTTTGTTCATAGTAATTCTTGTTGGCATTTGGTTATGATCGATGATCCGTAGGCGATCGCACTGATGCCTACTAAGGGAATTCATCCATCGTCGTCATGACCCTTCATGGTTTGCGTAGAAAATTCCGTATTCCCGTACACCGAAGCCAAATGCAAAGAAAATAGCCGTTCCCCCTCGCATCACGTCTAAACCTCCTGGATCTCCCTCAATCTTCGCAGCGTTGATCGCATAGCAGCCGCAGCAGCGGTCCTGTAACGCGAATGTTAGCACCGACGTCTCTCGCCCTTCTAGCGGAGTTCATATTGCAGTTCAACATACGAGACAGTGTAGGCTCCTCCGGCAACGGTCTTTCCACACGACTTGCAGTCCCAGATACCGACGGAGTGACGCTTGACGGAAACCTTGCCGCAGAACGTGCAGGTGTACTTGGCGTGCTGGGTGATTTCCATCTTCTTGACCTGCTTTCGGAGCGAGGCACCGTATCTATCCGGGAGGATTATCGTCAGCGGTTTGCTTCGTAGGAACTAGGTCGCCTCGAGCGTATTTCTTCGTGTTTAAAAGATTGTAATTTTGTCTTAATAGACCGGTCGCGTTGGACCACCAGCGATGACATGGCCGCTCGAGGGACTCTAAATTAGATACCAACGAAAACCTTGAATTACTTACCTGGTACCGTACTTTCCGGTAACACCGACCTTCTTTGTGCGCTTCGTCATTTTGTCTGAGGGATGTGAGGTTTGCTCGTGGAGTGCGAATGACGATGGAAGGGTTGGGTGTTTTTCGATTGTGGTCGAAATTGGAAATTTCCTCAATCAAATTCCAGGTTAGATTGCTGAGTGGGTTGCTAGCTTAGAATTTTTGATTTTGTGAGAAAGTACGGCTGGTGGTCCAGACTAGGGTCTAAGCGAACGAAAATTTAAAAGCTTGGACCATGTTAGATAAGTGCGCTAAAAAGGGGAAAGAACATAGGAGGGGCTGGGAGGTTATGATAAGATAGCTGATCAGGTGACTTAAATGACTAACCATACAAATGGTTCTCCAATTAGACTAGAAGTAAACGGAACATACAAAAAATACTCCGATTCGCTTAAGCATGAATTTAAGCACGGATCAAGAATTATTCATCTCATTGGTTCATCTAAGAGTCTAACAAGCAGACAAGGCGGAGAGACATTGCCATAAAATTATCCTTGCGGAGATCATCTTACAAACTAAACTTCTTTAGGCACCTACCCGAAACCTACGGTACTCTCACCGGATTGATATTCACGAAACGCCGGAGCTCTCTTTCATTTGGAGATGTGAAGCCGAGGTATGTACGGCCTTGATTCCTTTCGTAGCTAGAACTGCGCTCCGTGATTACCGCTTTTAAAGCCTCCTGTATGTATCTCCTGTATGTATCCTAGTTTATCACTTAGTTTTATCAGAGGCGGTGCCGGAAATGGAAGAAGGGAATATCAAACGCCCTGATCTGCGTGTACTGTATTATCTATCTATATATTATAACCCTAATAGAAAAATACTGGCCACATATTTCATGCTTCCTCAGTCTCTAGCTCAAGTATCATCTGTATCGCAAGTATAATAGGTATCTCCTTCATTATAAAGGAGCGTCTTACCTCGAGCGAAGACCTACGTTGATACCTACCTGGTCGAGTGTATCTTCTCTTCATACTTTTTCTTATCTACTTATATTTGTCCTAATTGCATCGTCCTCGACCAAAACTCATAATGTCTTTCAAGAAACACCCTCGTCAATATGACCTTGTGGTGTTCGGTGCAACTGGTAAATTAACTGCTTAATGGCTACCATATAGAAGATTAAGTATATTCGAACGGCTAATCGTTGGTAGGCTATACCGGGTCACTGATTGCCGAACATATCACAACCCACTTCCCAACAGATCTAAAATGGGCGATAGCCGGCCGATCTACTGACAAGCTGCGGAACGTAATTCAAGAATGCAAAGCCTTGAACTCTGACCGTCAGCCCCCAGAGATTGAGATATGTGGTCTCAATAACGCAGATCTTGAGGCGCTGGCCAAAAAGACCTTTGCGCTCGTTACGACAGTTGGTCCGTATGCAAAATACGGAGAGTTTGCCTTCAAGGCTTGCGCAGAAGCTGGCACTCATTATTTCGATTGCACTGGAGAGGCTGTTTGGCACGCATCTATGATTAAGAAGTATGAAGCATCCGCAAAGGCAACGGGTGCTTGCATGTTCCCCCAGGCCGCCATCGAATCTGCTCCGTCGGATTTAATGACCTTCTCTATGGCATCACTCATCCGATCTGAGCTCTCAGCCCCGGTGAGCGACGTTGTGGTTAAAATACATGAGATACAGTAAGTCATCAGCCCAATTATACTGGCGGGAAGTTAACATAATATAGTGGTGCACCGTCAGGTGGTACTCTCCATACACTTCTAGGGCTCTTCGACGTCTTCCACTGGAAAGAAGTAGTTCAATCTCACAAACCATATGCTATATCTCCTGTCCCGAACTCGAAACAAGCCCCTAAGTCTTCGTTGCTTTCAAAGCTAACAGGCTTATATACCATCCCCAAGCTTGGACTCATGTCAACCTCCATGACTGCCGGGACCAACACTGCAGTTGTGCAGCGTACATGGGGCCTGTTCAAAGAGGAGTCATCGTTGCAGAAGCAGTTCTATGGACCAAACTTTACTTACCGGGAATTTATAAGAGCAAAAAACCACCTCAGTGGTATGGCGATGCACTATACCCTTATAGTCAGCGGCGCATTGCTTATGTTCTGCTCGCCAATTCGAAAGTTAATGCGCAACTTCGTCTATCAGCCCGGCGAGGGAACAAGTAAAGAAGAGCAGGCAAAAGAGTATATCCAGTTCCAAGGAATCGCAACGCCAGACGTCCAACCTAGCATCGGCAAGCAAGCGTGGTGTAAGGCTGAATATAGTGGTGGATTGTATTATTGTAAGTACCCAACTCTCCGGTCAGATGTAACTTATAAGCTAACAACTGGCATAGTGACTGCGATGTTTGTTAGCCAAGCTGCCTGCACAATATTACAAGACGACCTCAACCTCGCAGGAGGTATTTATACCCCTGCATGTTTAGGCCAGGGATATATCGACCGTTTGAATGATGCTGGATTCAAATTAGAGTCGAAGATTATTGACGCATAGTTCTCTCTTGGCTGCGTTCTGCATTTGTCCATAATAAGCCGAAGGGCGTTATTTCGGCTTCATATGGCCGGCGTTAGGATTTGGCATCTATGATTGTGGAAGGTCAAAGAATGACCCGGAACTGGTAATCTGTTAAGCAGGCGAAGGTTATGTTATGCATATGATCGGAATTATTCTAAGAATAAGTAATGGGCTGGAGTTGTTCCATCTTGAGGCTCCCTTTAAACTATTTGCATCTAACGACGGAATTGGCGATAATAGGAAAGTATATTATGCATAGATATATGTATAATATATACATGTATGCTTCAGAGGGACAGGGCGAAATGTACCAATATATCTAAGGTACCTACAGTGATGCATGGACGTGTGGTATTGTATTAACTATATGTACTAATATGTATTGACAATACATATTTGCATGTAATATACAGATAAATACGAAAATGGATTGAAATTCCCCGCAAAAAAAAAAGTTGCAGGGGTCGGAGTTGACAAGCCGGGCTAGCTTTATTTTATTTTTATTTTTTTTCTATTTTTTTCTTTGGACGTTGGTCAATTCGTCAAACGTCATAATACAAGCTTCTTTTTAGCTCCGAGAATTGCGTCCCGTTTCTAAAACCTCTTAGGCCGTAACAATACACACTCTCTCCCGTTGTCACACCCGACTCATGTTGCAAGGTCAAGTACTTTGTTTTACTTATATCTTTTTGTAACTCTTGGGAATAAGTCCCTTCTATGATTTGAAATTATTCCCGAAATAAGAAGAGCAAACAATTGAATCTGCGAGTTTCATCTTTCATATGGCAACACGGTAGCACTTAATATAAGGAGAGCTATCATCACACGTTAAAGGTTACCTAGTAGCAGACTCAGTTGGCTCCTATCGCTATATGAAGTCGCATATTATCCAGATAGATAAGTATCAGGATGGATGCATCACCAAGAGCTTCAACTAGCTCCAGCCTAACATCTGAGCGAACTCCTCTCCTACGACACGACACAAGCCGTCCTAGAAGCGCGCGCAATGTAACCTTCAACCCCAATCCCGTAACGAGAACAATCGATCCCGATCCCTCATCCTTAAGCTCCTCGCCCAGTACTACAGGCAACTTTAGCCATGCACGCCTCCCTAGCTCTATGGCCTCGAGTAGTGGTTCCGCTGGCCCGCCACCTATGCTCTCCGCGCTGAACAGTCGGCTGCGTCGACGTAACAGCCACGGCGCTGTCTTCACCGCTCTCCCACCGGCAGCTAGCCCTATACCCAAAATTGGCCCCCAGCGAAGTTCCAAGAAGGCAGAGAAGCTGAAATTATTACCAAATCCCGAACTTGACGTGGAGGGACCCGATGAAGAGAGCGGCAGAGATGTCTACTCTCAGTATACACGCATTAAAGATCCTACTGCAAGAAGAGATGCCGCACGATTAGGCAAAGCAGACCGTGACAGGCTGCCGCGTGTAACGGCTTACTGCACGGCTACAAAGTATAACATGGATGGGCTGATGCGATTTCTCAAGGGCAGGGGTAAAAATAGGGGTTCAAATCCCAAGCTGATTGATGAATGCATATACTCGCCGTATAATTACGCGCTCGGGAAATCTGTAGAACGAGCTGAAGCAGCGGAAGAAGTACGGCAAAGACCGATCCAGACTTATGAGAGGAGACATTCTACCGGCGAAGTGGAAGAACACTCGGATGCATATAAGAGGGAAAGCCTGCGGAACCTGCAATCACAACAAGATGGCGCATCAGATACCGAGCAGATATTCAGTAATGGCCGAGATGTACATAATAACCTCTCCTACCCGATGCATTCCGAGGATGAGAGCGCCATACATGATCCGCATTCGGATTCCGAACACCAGCAGCATGGTGCCGACTTCGATATCCACGTACATACACCGGAAGTATTCTTATTCGACTACGGTGTTGTTGTGATATGGGGCATGTCGCCAGCACACGAGCAAAGGTTCCTAAAAGACATCGCTAGATTCGAACTTGATAAGCTAAATTTGGACGACGTGGAGACGGAGTGCTTTAACTTTTACTACACCAACGAGTACCAACCACGGATATACAACGACTTTATCACCCTGAGGGACAAGGGGAACTACATGACGAAGTTAGCCATATCGCACGCGTTGGCGCAAAGTGTCAAGGTATTGCCTTTTTCCTCTCCTATATATAACACAATATGAAAAGATAACTAACCCCCCAAACAGACGTCCCTCTTCGAGGAGCTTATCGCATCGACAGTCGACACATGCAAGGACATACCGACACAGATTGCTCTAACGGGTAAGATCGCGCTGTCGCGGTCGCAAATCAACATGCAAATTGGCGAGCTGTTCATCCTGCGCATCAGCATCCATCTCAACGGCAGCGTGCTTGACACCCCTGAGCTCTTCTGGGTTGAACCCCATCTCGAACCCGTCTATCAAGCCGTTCGCAGCTACCTCGAGATGGATCAACGTGTCCGTCTGCTCACTGAGCGTCTCGATGTCATTGCTGACTTACTCGCCGTACTCAAAGATCAGCTGAGCCATGGTCATGGAGAGAAATTGGAGTGGATCGGTACGTAGTGCCTAATATAATCACCTCCCCCCCCTCCCTTTTTGATGGTTTACTACTTATTCCAAATAAAACATCTTCAAGCTATTAAGTGTATATCAGGCCAACTAACACGAACCTGCAGTCATCGTCCTCATCGCCGCAGAAATCCTAGTCGCAGCCGTCAACATTGTCGTCGACCTCTACGCGGGCGTAGACTAACTACCTAGCTTCGCCTATCTCTACCAGAAGAGAGTAAGCTAGGCCAATTTCTGTCTCTATACCAGGTCAAGAAAAGACGGGCGATGTTCGATTTCAGGTGTATCGGTTAGATAGCATGCATACACAGACACAGACACAGACACAGACACGCATACATATGCACAGCACATCAGTACTAGTAGCTTGCAGCTTTTGGCGTTTGGGCTGCGTATCGGTTTTATATTACTTTTGATATAGGATAGGCATCGTTGCATCACACAATAGGTTAGATACCTCATAATCGAAGTAATGTCCAGTTTCAAGCGGCGATAGCAGTGTAGGTAATGAATAGCAATAATATCAATAGTTTCTTCGCGGGTCAGCTTCGTTATGTGTACCTGTTTACTTTGCTTTATCCGGGTGTCATTTTTCGGAAGTATTATATAGGAGCACTTCACAGCAAAATCATCGTAATCCAAAAGACCATAAATAGAGGCAATGTATTCATAATACGTAAACTAGATTATATTGAATCCATTTCTCACGTAATAACATCATAACTCCAGGTTAGGTATTTTACTACTCCCTCAACATCAAACAGAGACGAAAAACAAAAGCTCACATTTTTCACCAACCAACTCTTACAAGGTCCTCGTAGATAAAAATTAGACCTTCTTGTTCTTTGATTCATTAATGCTATTATCTTAACTTCCTAGCTCCCAGGCCTAGCATGATATCTAATCCTAATCCTACACTCAAAGACAAAGCTAAGCCAAAAAAAGTCCCTTACCATAACGCCAAATTTTAAGGGTCCTGGCGGTGGGAGAATCTCATTCATCCCCACTAGTTCGCATTTGAATTATCTCCATATAGCCGTCTTCATCTGTGAGAGGGCGTAGGTCTGAGCCTAAGGCCGCGTCTCACCTAATCGTCTACAGCGCCGTCGTTCTCGTCAACCTCGGTCTCTGGGTCCGTATCCTGATCGCCTGTAGGCTCGTGGTCGCCGGGATCTGCCATCTCAACATCCTGATCTTCGTCTCCTTCTTCATCCTGGACCTCTTCGAAGCGGGCCGAACGACCACCTCCACCACCACGTCTGCTGCTAGAGATGCTGCCAAAGTGATCTCTATCCCTGTTACGCGAGCGCTCACGCGCAGCATTTTTCGCTTCGCGCTTATACTCTTCAACGGCCTCCTTGTATTGGGCCAGCTCCTGCTCATATCTGACTTGAAACTCTTCCTTTTCTTTTTCTGGTAGGTCCTTCCAGCCTCGTGCGAGCTCCTCTTCAAGACGGAACTCTCCCGCTGCAATCTTTTCCTTGTGTTGGGCTTGGAGAACGGGTCGGGTGTCGTTGCAGTAGATCTCGAAGGCGTTGCTAGGTCGTTTAGGTCGCTTGGCAATACCATTAAGACGGCCGTGGTCGAGCTGAGAGTGTGAATAGGCATCGGAGCTCGGCGAGAGCGTCGCTAAGTTCTGATTGATGAAAGTCGCGCTGGGTCCGGCGCCCGGCTCAGAGATGGGAAGCAGGGACGGCTTCCTATGCCCACGCTTAGTTCTGAGCGGTTTGTCCTTCGGCTGCTAGATAGTTAGACATCTGTTTAATGTAAACGTCTCACAGGTAAGAAGGAAATTAGCACATACAGTCGGTGGAGGACTAGGGCTGCCTTCGGAATCCTCTACATTAGTGCTCGTGCGCTTGGCGACCTGCTCGAGGAGGAATGCGCGCTCGAGGCGTAGTTTTTGGACTTGACGCTGGAGTCGGGTCAATCGCAACTGATAGGCCTTTGTCTCATCTTCAATCTCTTTGGTGCGCTCCTTCAGTTGGATACATTTACGTCGATAGGCTTCTTCGACCGTAGGAGGTAGAGCGGGAGGGTTAACTATAAAGTTATATGGTTAGCTCGTATTTTTGGTATATTCTGACGATGTGTGATCCCAACCCCGAGCAGCATTATCCTCAATTTCGGAAGATAGATCAGGTTCGACGGGTTCGGTAGGTTCAACTTGAATAGGTCGTTTTCCCTTTCCGGGACTGAATCGAAATAAGGGCGGAAGATCCATAGTTGATCATTGACGTTGAAGTGAAGATAGTGAGAGTTTATAACGTCAAGGTAACCAACAAGTTTAATGGGAAATGGCTGTCAAGTTGGCGATAATAAGAATGTGTGCACTTACTGCTCTGAGGAGCCATCTTTATAGAATGCGACAGTTGTCGCAGCGACTTCACCAATTCAGGATCTGACTGTGAGCCAGATAATTAAATTACGTATTTCTTATTCCGATACTGAATCACAGCTAATATCTTAGAATAATGTTGCGTGGTGTTTTAACGAATATCCGACGGTGAAGTTGAAAAGAATAAGATGACGAAGAGAGTAAAAGACGGCGCAGATAACAGGCGCGATGAAATATGTCCATAGCTAGAAGCGTGGAAACGTGAAAGCGTGAAAGCGTGGTACCTTACTTTTCTTAATGGACGAGGCTGCTTATTTAGAGTTTTGATTGGATAATATACACTTTATGGCCCATATATTTACTGCAAGGCTTATCCTTAGGTCTTTACTGCTGTTTGCTTAGCTGCTTAGGTAGCTCCAGGGCTATTTAGCAGTCTTAGCTTCATAGAAGATGTTAGGTATGTAACCAAGTACCTAATCACATGTATTATGTACCTCCTAGCAGCTTTGATTAGGTAGCTCCACTAATTTTTTTCTGGTAGAAGCTTCAACTTTGGAGCCTCCCACTTTAATGCACTTTAATACACTTTAATAGTTGACAAGGCGTGTATTCAGTCTTCAACCCTGGTTTATTCCGATTCAACAAGAAGTTAGACATCTACCTAGAAAGGGAATCAACAAATATGTCACTCAATATCCCGAACGCGCCAAATGCTGGCCTGTTCAAGCAAGGCTATAACAAGTATGTTATTCTTCACCCCGCCACAGCTTGCGAACTTATATAATAAAGAGATGCCTAACCATATTATTATTTTATAGCTACGATGCCGAAGATGGAGCCGTGCTACGAAATATTGATGCTTGTCGGGCCATTGCCTCTACCGTCCAGACTTCCTTAGGACCTTATGGCCGAAATAAAATTATTATAAACCATCTGCAAAAGATGATTCTCACTTCCGATGCTGCAACTATTCTCAAGGAGCTCGATGTCGTCCACCCTGCTGCCAAACTTTTGGTTATGGCCAGTCAACAGCAGGAGGCTGAGATGGGCGATGCTACAAACCTTGTTATAGTTCTTGCTGGCGAGCTCCTCAAGAAAGCCGAAGATTTACTACGAATGGGCCTAAAGACTGCAGATATAGTCACAGGCTACGAGCGCGCTCAAGCATTCGCTCTTGAGGCCTTGGAGCAACTCGTCGTCGATAAGGTAGATGATATCAGGAACCAGGACCAGTTAAGCAAGGCGATCCGAACAGTGGTGGCGAGCAAGCAGAACGGTAACGAGGATACGCTAGCCACTCTTGTCTCTGAGGCCGTTCTCGCCGTGCTCCCTAAAAACCCCGTTAACTTTAATGTCGACAACATCCGAGTAGTGAAGATCATGGGCGGAAGCCTAGAGCAGAGCAAAGTGGTGAAGGGCATGGTCTTCCCCAAGGAGCCAGATGGATCTGTCAAGAAGGCCACCAAGGCCAAGGTCGGAGTTTTCTCCTGTGCCCTCGACATAAGCCAGACTGAGACCAAGGGTACCGTGCTATTACACAACGCCAAGGAGATGATGGACTTCACTAAGGGAGAGGAAGAGCAATTGGAAGCTGCCATTAAGGAGCTGCACGACGTCGGTTTGAGAGTCGTAATCGCCGGTTCCACCGTGGGAGAACTTGCCATGCACTACCTCAACCGATACGGCATACTCGTCATTAAGATTCTGAGCAAGTTCGAATTACGGCGAGTCTGCCGAGTCGTTGGCGCTACTCCTCTTGCCAGATTAGGCGCTCCCATGCCTGACGAGATGGGATCTGTAGACGTCGTCGAGACCCTCGAAATCGGCGGAGACCGCGTGACAGTATTCAGACAAGAAGACGAGGTCACAAGGACGGCAACCATCGTTCTCCGAGGTGCTACGCAAAATCACCTTGATGACGTTGAGCGAGCGGTAGACGACGGAGTCAACGTAGTGAAGGCCATTACCCGCGATGCACAACTAGTGCCCGGTGCAGGTGCTACGGAGATACAGCTCGTAGGAAGGATACAAGCTTTCGGTGACAAGACTTCCGGCTTGCCGCAATACTCCATCCGTAAATACGGTGAGGCATTCGAGGTTGTAGCACGGACCATAGCAGAGAGCGCTGGTCTGGATGCTACAGAAGTGCTAAGTAGACTATACACGGCACATAACAAGAAGGACGGTTGGACTACAGGAGTTGATATAGAGGTAAGACCCTCAACATTACTATTCATACACGCAGTGCAATACTGACATCATTTTTGCTACAGAACAACGACGGCACCGGTACCCTAGATGCCAAGGAGGAGGGTATCTTAGACCTTATGGTCACTAAGTCTTGGGCTATCAAGCTAGCGACAGAGGCAGCGCGAACAGTGCTATCAGTAGACCAGATCATCGTAGCAAGGCAAGCTGGCGGGCCGAAGCCACCGGGACCCAACCCCAACTGGGATGAGGATTAAATAAAAACTCGCCGGTAGCTTTTGAGGGCAGGTCGGATCTGTATGCGATTATAGACGGTCAACCTACAAATACCAAAGATGTTGATAGCATGAATTGACTAAACCAAAAGCCAAAGGCCAGGAGTTCACTTTTTGATTTGCCGAGTTTGTTTAATGTGATATGCGGCTCTGCGATCGTAAACCCCTAAAATAATCCCATGAGATTCAACTCTGTAGTAATGCCGTGTAATCCTTAGATTCTTCTAACCCATTCACCGCAAAATCTCGGTATAAGGGGGGTAGGGGGAAGGTTATACATTATTATAAAAAGAAGAAAATAATGATTAAAATAAATAAAAATAAAAAAAAACTGAAAAAATCGACAAAAAAGCTCGGAACTCAGTATCCAAGGACCCCATTTGACCTGAACAGTTGGCCTTCCTGCCGCCCTGGGGCTATCTCGAACCTGGTTTCCTACGAAAAACCCAGTTAAGGATTATTTCTGATCCTACTTCATTAACCACTCGACCACGGCCATGTTGGTTTTGCAGCTGCCGACCAGGAGTGAAAGATTGTGTTTCTAATGGTGTACTTATGTTAAACTTGGCTGCCTAGCAACCGGCGGGTGGTTTGGCAGCTGTTGAGGGTCAAGTACCTTGGTAGATATATAAATGTTCTTGAACCTTGGGAAATGCAAGTTTACTCTTATTATTTTCTCTGTATGAACTCGAACCTTGTACGTATTTGATTAGCTATCTGACTTACTTTTCGTATAACCCATATGATGGGGGGCACAGATTCATTATCTTATAACTTAGTGAGAACCGAGTTACTCGTCGGTTATGACATAACTACCTACCTTTTATATAAGAGTCTCTACCACAAGATCCATGTTCGTGTTATTATCATCACGACTATTTACCCTCCGATCAAATTCCACAATTAGGGGAAACTCCTTTAAAATGATGAATCTAAAGAAAGGCCTGGGATTATGAGTATCTACCTAGGTATGTGAGAACATAAATGAACGAAGTGTTTAACTATATTGAAGCACGAAGATTCATAAATCAATACAAGACTATACCGTTGGTATAGGCAAGTGTTATGGTTGATATTACTCTATAATCCAGTTTCTCAAGAATGGAGTATGTTCTCGGTACTCTAGGTGATATAGATATGGCAATAACCCGTAAACGACTTGACTTAACTTAACCTTAATAGATATGTTATATATAATCAAAGTTTTTGAACATGGACATAGAACCTAGTAGCCAGAGTACCTGATTCAAATGATATATTTTGTAAGTTATATAGTGTCTTCATAAAGACTTCGTGGGACATTTCTAATTGTGAAAATAATCGGTTCAGTTTACTAGCAAATAGCATAACGTACCTACTTTAGATCGTCGTTGTCTTCTTGCCCACTCATATTTCATATTCCCTTTCTAGAGAATCAACTATACCCACAACACCCTTAACCATGTTACGAAGATAGTATAGACATAGGTAGGCCCCATAGCCATGTATTAAATTAAACATGCTGATTGGTTTTATTATAACCCCCAAAGTCCAGCCAACCAATATCCTACTTCCGTTACACGATATACACATAACCGCCTCACCAGTCACACATCCATCCAGCCCCTAGACTATAGTTCTAACAGCCCTATCAATATAATCTACTTACTATTCCGCAAACAAGACAATCGTTGGTGATGTGGGGAACCCGAAGCTCTGGATCGTCACTACATATGCCAACGGGGTAGCATCTGCAAGTAATACCAACGGCTCTGCTGCCAACCATGTCCCTCCCGGATCGATAAATAGCGCAGCGGGTTAATGCCATTGCTCTGCTGCGTGTGTGAGGATACACATCGATGAGACGCATCTGTGTAACAGCTAGGCTAGCCGTATATTCCTACCGTTTGTTGACGCAGGATTGGAATAGGTAGTATACTGTCAGGACCGTATTCTAACACTGCTTACTATTCACTTTCTCTCGAGTAAGGGATAGAGGGCAAAAGGAATCACGAGCATGTCTGTATAGCTATACATTGTAACTAGGACCCTCTGAGTAAACGTAAAACACGGAGGATGCAAGTAAGAAACGTGCATGTTTATCGTAGCCCCGGGAGCTACCCATATACCATCCCTTTGGTACCGATGGAGAGAGAAAAATAGAGAAAACCCCCACAGGAACTTCTACCAACGTAATAGATCAGATTCCTAACCACATCCGCGCGGGCCGAATAGGACGACTTACGTGCGTATCTTCCTAGGTACGTACGCTTATATTCCCCCCTCACAACAACACGTCAATCGGTTGGGATACCGACGTCTCCCAGATCGCTACGGCCCGGATGTTTCACGCACTAAGCATTTATTCCGACGGCACATCGATTGCTCCAAACCTATGAGCGACCGTTTCCATACCCGAGCGAGAGGGAGCGAACCCAGAACGGTATCACAACGAAGATCTTAGGATTGGCGGAGGTAACATCAGCCTATCTGCGATAACTAGAAAACAGAAAAAAAAAAGTCTAGACCCCCGGCGTGGGAATAAGCACTGATA